ACTTATGAATGTTGTATTTAAGGTTAATCCTAAAGTGACAATTTTTCCTTTAATATTTTTATACAGCATTAAAAATATTTATCGCAATTAAAAGTTTATAGAGGTGGGTCAGTGTGCAATTTAAAAATAGTATCTAAATTTGTATAATCGCCTTAATGAGAGAGAATATAGCTGAGTCCTTCTGCGTGTGTCTGCTTGAGGTCTGATATGATATTGTTTATTGGATGTGTGTTTGTCTCGACTTTACCGTTGTTGCTAGGTGTATTCGTGGGACAGCCCTATGTGGCTGAATAAAAATTAACATACGAGACAGCGTACGATGGTCAAATGTTAAGTAAGACCTAATATAGTCTGTGACACAATCGAAACCAAAAACCGACATGTTGCCGCGTAAGCGGAGGAGAAAATGCTTCCCTTCTTATCGTTTTCCTTTTCCATTTTTTCTAATTTTCAATTTGTAATTAAGAACACACATTTTTTATACTGAGATCTCTTTTGACCTGTGTAACGTTTCGATTCAAACGTCAAAGTTCAAAATTTATTTGGTTTTTAGTCGGTGCATTAGTTCCTTGATAAATCTGTACTTCGACTTAACAACGCATCTCTCACTGTTTGTTACTTAGGTCAGATTAAAAAAAAACACTAAATGCCTGTACGCAAAATTAAGGTAGTGTCTATTCCAAGTTTGGTGTGCATTAAATACCTAGTGTAAACAACATTGTTGACTTTTGCTAATAGCTTGAGGTTGTTAACGTTTTTAGAGCAGAATGGTGAAACTTTTTATGTATTATATAATATCGTATATACGTATATTATAAAATCTTGCTCTATAATACGATTATTCGCTAGTCCCTTTTTGTAAACTGAATGCCATCTTAACGTGTTGTTACACACATAGTCCTCTTAAATAAAGTAGTATCAATATATAATGATGGCTGTGAGGTAAATAATTATAACAATTTAAAAATTTATATTGTGTAAAAGTAATAAAATAGGATGAGGAATATATAAATATTTCTTGGTTCGGTTCGGCATTGTCATAATCCGTAATATTTATCCAATTGTTTCGTCATATGGGAATTTCATTAAAAAAACATAGTGCGTGAATCATAATTTACGTATGCCCATCGGGATAGTGCCGAACCAATCGTAAATATGCTTTTTGCCATTTTTGGCGCGCAACGCCATTTCGCCGTAGCGGGTTGCCATACCTTATTGACGTTTACAAAACAAAACATTTTAAACTTTAATTTAAGCCCCGTTCACATTATAAGGCTATGTTTTATTTCAGTTTTAAACGAAGCGTTCCTCAGATTGAAATTTTCGTCTATCATCGCTTTGGCAACCCAAAGTTCAAGCTCACAGCTTTCTTCGCTCAATTTAACGCTCCTCCACTTTTGCGTATTAAAAAAGGCATATTTATTCTATTTACGCCATCAAAGGTTGTACGGGTTTCTTGGTGAAAACTAGGAATAGGATCATTCAACGCATCTGATATTACGATCCCATATTTAGGAATAGACAATAAAACAAGTCGGTTAAAGCCATGCCAAACAATATTGTTACCATGTAATGTGGCACTTCAAAATCGATGTAATTTCAATTCATCCATTTTAAAGTATAACAAAAAAAGCTTAGATCATATACTAATAGAAAAGATCGAGAGAGACGAAATATCATAATTGCTCTAATTGTCTACTTCTAAACTTGTTAGTATATGTTCTAAATCTCGCCTATAAAAATCAAATAAGCAACGCCGCCATTCTCACGTAATATTACATTAGCCTTGACACACGTGTACACTTCAACACTTCAGTGACACCGTCTTTGAGAAATTGTACATGCCAATCCCATTTTTAGACGTAAGGTTATTAAGAGTATAATGGCTTGCACGGTTTTGATGGAGAGTACAAGGAAATGTTGCCGTGTGCACCAACGCATAATGACTGCACAAGACGGGGAATGTAATATTACCCGACTGTTCGAAGTGTATCACACCACAAGACAAATTATTTAATATTGTTGATGTTGATTGTTAATAAAATGCAAATAATGTAAATATCAAAATAAATTCTGTATTTGTATTTGACTCCTTGTTTTATTGAATACTATATTTTTCCATTATACGTTGTTTTTCCATGTGCACGCGTGCTGTACATGTTCTTTTACAGTGCCAGTCCTAGTTTTTTATCAGGATAAAGCGAGATTGTCTATCGGCGCCGCTTAGTCGGTGCTTTCACTTTGAAATCAAATAGCTGTAGTTATTATACCAACTATAGTGGTATAATAACTTCTTTAACATTGAGAAAGTTTCTATTTCTACGTAATTATATTTAAATTTTGTGTTAATGTCCATTAGTCACACAATAATAAAATCTGTTATCTATGTAGGTGTTTTCAAAACTTATTGAAGAAAAACATAATATCACATTTATTACATTAACCTAAATAAAAATAAATAGCTCTAATTATTATACACCAGCTTCTTCATTTACGCTCCTACTAAAATAATAATATTAGTATTTATTGTAATTCCCAAACAGTCGCTAAATAATGAAAACTGTTTCATAATGAACTAAAACTGACCCGCGTCTTTCAAAAAGCGCCATCAAAATTTTATTTTATGTGGAAATGGTTTTTTGCCTTTGATTATTAAGTGGTAGGGCAGCAGCTGTTTCACGAATGGGCAGGCTCGTCCGGGTAAATACCACGGCCTCACAGAAGACTGGTCAATTAGAAGTACTTACTCTCACGTTTCGTCTGATGAGCGAGGTAGCCAGCGCCCATTTTTTTATAGTTTGTAACGCCTCTACAACAGGTGTTGTAGATATCATCAGGTGAATCGCCTTGTCACCTTCTGACATAAAACATTTAGCTACCCTTGCTACCTGGCGCTTAGAGTGACCGCTCCTCTTGCTCAACCCTTGGGCAGGCGCTGTTACCAACTGTCGTTGCCACATTTAAAATCCAATGAGGACCCGTGCCTTGTGGTTGTGATTAGCCGTCTGTTTGTCAGCGGCCAGTAGCGGATGGAGGCGCTTTTTTAGAAGGTGACATTTAAGTATGGCGCTCAAAATGCCCAGCGTCTAGGGATGTAGAAAAAATATCGATATTTCTGATTCATAGACTTCAACGGTTTACTTGTTCGCTGAATCCGCGACGGCAGTCACTTGGGTGACCTGGGCCTGTGACGAAGGATCTGTTCTCATATATGCTGCGCTTTAGGTCCTTCCTCCGTGGAGGTCTTTTGGTGAATTTTGGTTTGGAGGTATAGAGGATAAAGTGCAGGAACAAAAGGAACGCTCGACTTCGTAGTGTAGAACGTCGTGATTCACCTTTAACAGGTAGATTCACCTTTATTCAGTAGTAAACGAGTGGGACGAATAATTGGGCCAGACAGTTCGAATAATGATGATAGGAAATGAGAATGTCATCGTGGTCAAAACTTTATTAGTACGGTGCAATGACCCCTTTAAAATATTTGTGTTCTGTCTTTTTTGGAATTACAGAAAACTAATATAGCTTTCCTGATTTAACAAGCCTTGCTATTTTTTGATATCTATATGTATAAAATACTGCAAGCCCCACGAGTTACTTATAATTTTAAAAATCGCACGAATCACTTCTTAGGATGGCCGAAAATCGTCACTAGCCTCTAGTGATAAACGCAAAGAAAATTATCAACCAATTCAAAACGCAAATGGGGTCCATACAAAAAAATATACAGCGTGTCGTTACAACCGCGTCGATAAATGAACACACATATAGACAATATCTTTAAACATTCTTTAAACATCAATATTTACAGAGTTATTAAATTTGCCAAAAACAAACAATTTTAGAACATCCTTACGTAGAAGACTGTAACGTAAAGTTCATTTGTAAAGGTTACAAAGCATATGAATGGATTGAATGAATTTAAAAAAGACAAAAGATACTGTTAGAAGGAGAGGCTTGTAATCCGACGCTGTGGCAACGAATGAAAGTCTGAATGTATGAATTAGTCAGTTGTAGTTGTTACAAATTTTGTTTATTTTTTACTTAATTAGTTTGTTTGAAAAATATTTTTTTTTTATTATGGATTTTTTAACGTTTTTTTTTTTATTATTATTGGCAAGTAGCATTAGACGTGTGTTCATTTATTGTTGCGGTTGTAACGACACGCTGTATATAAACTAAGCTATGATGCTAATAAAAACGAGTTATAAGAAAAATAGATTTTTTATTGTAGAATTGTAATAAAATATTAAGATTAGTGAATAAAAAATTGTATTTGAGTTGGAAAAAAAGAATATTTTACGATTTATTAATCCAATACTGTTTTTATAATATTACAAGTATCATATTTGACCATTTCACATAATAGTCTACATACATTAATATCACAGTTATATCGGGAATTAAAGAAAATTAACAATATTAATAATTAACAATATTGGATATTTTTTACTCTATTACAAAAAAACATTACCTCACACCCTAGTTGATGTCAAAAATAAAACTAACAAACATAGCCCAAAGATGAAATACAAAATTATTTTTTTTTTAATTAAAATTTTTTCTTTCAAACACACTTTTCTTTAAAAAATGTTGAATGTGTATTAAACTTTATTGTAGGTGTAAAGACCAAATACAAAATAGTTTTTATGTTGTGCCTAATTGATTAAAAAAATTATTTAAAATTTATTTTTTATGCAGCCTAAATATTTGTTGCTTGAAAACTGATTTAATCATACAGCTTATAGGTTTACTTACAACTTGCATTTTAGCTGATTGTATTTTACAATCACAGATATTGATCTAAATGCAACTATATACACACATCATTAAGCAAGACAATCAAAAATCATTAGCCGGTTTCAATATTCTATCAGTAGATTTTGTTACTATAGATAGGTACTTGACATTAGCTTCATAATAATCATGTCAAAATTCTATCTCAAGTAACTAAACCTGCAGATAGATAGAATATTGAAACCAGCTGTAAGGTTTATAGTCTAGCAGTTGTGTTTTCCACGGTCCAACAGACTATTTTTCTGTTGACTCTTCTTAGTTTTTCCAATTTGCTTCCGTGCTGAGCCTATTGATGAAATTTTACGCCTTTCCTCCTCCATTGACAGTGGCGGAAGTGACACTTTCCTATTCAAATACATAGGCCCATTACCCTTATTAACATCAGTGTGCGGAGGTTCTGGTGTGTATATTGGTTCAAGCCTTCCCATATCCCTGTGCCTTGCAGTAACTACTCTGCCATTTACGTTTTTTACATCCAAACCACATAGAATATTGCTATACTTTCCAGTGTCCAATGAAACAAATGATTTTGCACTGCTCCTACCACAGTTTACAGATGAGTCAGGTCGGGAACCTCGCATCCAGCGTGAAGAAGCCAATTCAGATCTCAAAATAGAGTGGCTTTGTCTCTTTTTATATGGACTCCGTATTTGAATTGGGGTGATCTGCAAGAGGGATGAGAATGCATCTCCAAAATCCAAATCGTCATCTTGCCTTGGGTAAATGGTTATTTTTTCCCGTGACAACCTCGGTTCACAGGGGTTTTCTATACCCAACACTCTTGGAGAGTTTTGCGGAGTAACATCTGTGCTACTCTGTGATAGACGCTCCTCACTTTCACTAAATTGCTCATAATCACTGTAGTGCATAGCAATCACCTCATCATGGTCAATTGGTCTGTTACATAACCTAATCTTTGGCAGAGGTATTCCCCTGCCAAGGATTCTGTAATGAGAAAAAATTGATTTATTAAATAACATTAATTAAATTGATAACTTCAAAATTTCCATTGTTTAAACATAAACCCCATTTAAACTTATATATTAGATAATAATAATATATACCTATTTAATATTATGTTATTGTTATCTATCTGCAACAGTGCTAAACTAACAAATAGTATATATTTAAAGTGAATAATTATTTAAGGTTAAAAGCTTATGACTAACCTGAGTTGTGGATGTAACTGCCTCCATTGCTTACACTCTTCAACCATAAGAGGCCTGGTTGTTTTTTCCCCTTCTTCATTGTATAAAGTCCTTTCGATTTTTTCCCACTCTGCTTCTAATGATTTGGTAGCCTCCTCAGTATTCCTTCGCAAAGCTGAACCGGAACTACTGTCGCTCTCTTCGCTTCTAAAATCTGGAGTGCCTGCAAATTGTAAATAAATATAAGGTTACTAAATACATAGTATTTGATACATAAACCTTTGTATAAAAATCTATCTACAACAAGCCCATTAAAAACATGAAATTTACCGGTTTCACTGTCAGAAAAAAAGTCGGAAAATGGTGTGCTAACTCTATCTAGGCTTTCTTCGGAGAAGGGTTGCGCTTTAAAGGAAAACCCTAAGTTTCTATTGACGACTGATGCCGCATTGGCTGAAAGAGGAGGTAATTCCTGAACTGAGCGGTAACCAAATTTCTGTTGATTTATGTATGGTAAACAATCTATAAACTTGCTTATGTTTTTCTCTCGGGCTGATAAATAGTTACGAGCCGACATAATCAAGTATAACTTGCGATTAAATATGATATTTTGCTATCCATTTGTACCCTTTGATCTATGTTATTGTTATATTCTTTTTATTTTTTTTAAACTTAATCCACCGAAGTTATATCATTTTTCAATTTCATATAAAACAAGTTATCAAGTTGTCAAGAGTGTCAAGTCAAGCTGTCAAGTCAAGGTATAACTATGTAGTGTCATTGGTAGCACTTATATAGTTTACGATTTAATTATGGTAAATATTTTAAATAATAGCCGTAACAAATTATCAATTTATGTAGTCATCAAACATTCTTAGATTGTATTTAATAAATAATATATTTTATAAATTTTAAAAGTTTTTTTATCAATCTATATATTCACGACTACGGTGATGCACTGCTTATTAAAATATTTCTTCAATAATTAGTATCTATCTTTTAGTTGATATAGAAATCCTTAAAACATAAGATAATTGAGAATATTATATATTTATGTATTTTCGATTCAAACACTTTGGCACGATTGCGGCGCACAACTTTGTTATTATTTTAACGCACAGTTATAATAAAATGATTTATAAAACAAGATTTTCAAAAATTAAATATTTCGTAATGAATTACGTAATGTAGGTACGATCGTATGCAGACTGGCTATTAAATAATAATAACACAACAATTTAGACGATTCAAAAGTAGTTTAACACTTGAGGATATCGTGTGTGTGAATCTGGGATCTGATATACGCCACTGAACTGATTGCCTCTCTATTGCTGTGACACCCTTGCTATGATAAGCGGTCAAACGGTCGTTGAAGAATTAAACTTTTTAAAGTGCGCTTTCTTCACCGGGATAGTCGAATACATTTTTATTCAATTCAGCGTTCCGGATAAACCACGGGATATATTATGCAGGTAGCAAAATATTGAAATCGTAATTTTATTGATTCATATTCATCCCTAAACAAAATCACGACTAACAATTATTATAATAGTGTATTACTGTCGATCAATCTAAAATGTATGTATATTACTCCTGTTTCCCCTACCATTATACACAACTGTAAGTACAAATTAATACTTCTGCTGAAGCTATATATGGAGGAATATTCTTCAGCTCAGCATGTTTCTTGCTAAAAAAAAATAAAATTGATCTTGATCGAACTGTCACTGTCACTGCCAGATTATCACGCATTGCGGTTTATTACAGGTCGCGCGCTGAATATATGTTCGAATTTTTTTTTACTGTAGCGTTTCAAACAAGCCGGTGAAAAAAAATTACAATGTCGAAAACTTTTACGAAAGCTGGTGACAAGAGTCAGGATGAGGTGAGATTTTTTTATTTTCAGACTAATCTGCTTTACATCTATTTTTATTGTGCAAGTAATAAGCAACTAATAATTTTTAAATCCTATGTTTTTCATAATCTAATTTTTCTCTAAAAGTCTAAAGTAACTGTATCTTTAACATTCATATTTTCAAAATATGAAACATTTTTTTTTCTTATTTTTTTGATGTAAACAAAAAGGTCCACAAAATTTTTCTTTATTTCTAACTCTATACAAAGATTTTGGCCAAAGTTTTTGTTTCAAATAAAAATTACAAATAATTTTTATTGTAAAATCAGGAACAAATTTTAATTGTAAAGTGGGCCCTTTTATTTTTAACTACAGTATTGCATTGAAAGAAAAAGTTTAATTTTTATTTGTGTTTCAAATCAAGTTTTATCATGATTTATATTACCTTCTTATCATTTAAGATGACAGATAAGAAAGTAATCTAACAACAAACACAAGTAACTACAAAGTGTTTTTTCCAGTTAATTTTAAATAAGTTGCTTCCAATCTTTTTATATTATTGTTTGTGTGTGCAATACAGATTTATTATTCCTGATTTCTTTGTTGGCTTACAACTTGTATTATAAATCTATAAATACAACATCATATTTTACATAAAGCTTTAAATTGTACATAAATTCATAAATAAGATTTCCTCAATTTTGATGGTCATACTATATGGTCAAATAGATATCCATGATAACATTATGATGTGAAAATTTGTAATAGAAGTAGCTGTACCAGGCCATAGGGTATCTTTAACTATGGTACTTACTATTTACTCGGCTGGCTCAGCAACCCAAAGAGGATCTTGGCCTCCGACACGAAAAGACGCCACTGTTCTATGTTCTTGGCTGTTTCTTACCAATTGGCTGATGACTATTGCAACTCTTGTAAATGTACATTTTGTTTTGGGTGTAATTTTATAAGTCAATAATACATGCAAGTCATTGTTGAATCCTAATGCAATGGAAATATATCATGATGTATCATAAAGAGTGAATTTCTAGCTACAAATGATGATAGCACCAAATTATATTCTGCTGAATTTTGATATCGAGTTATAACCGTTATTGTTATTTATCTTATGTTTATAACCAGACCATTTTGCAGACTATCTGTGTTGGAATTATATTCTATAAAAATTATAGATGGTTTGCATTCTTGATGAAATTATGAGAAAAAATGGAAGATGAAATGCATTTATAGTGTTTTGAAAAAAAACTATCAGTTAGGGTAATTCGCGATTATGTCAACTCCATAACACTACGACTTTATTAAAACATGTAGAAAAAATACGAAAAGATTGTCGCCACTGTGAGAATCGAACCCACGTCTTCGGCATTCGCGGCCTGGCGCTCTAGCCACTGAGCTAAACGGCTGATAGCCACAGCGACTTTATATTACGACTTTATATTAAATAAAAAACAAAAGTATACTAATATCCAACGTCTTCAGTAACGACGCTGTCAGTTCCTTGGTCGGACGTACTAATTCGTACACCAGGAATGGTCGCTCTCTCTGTTCATATAACAAAGACAATACGTATAACTATATCAAATTCCTCATTCAGTAGTCATAAAGGGTAGAGATACAAGGTTTTAAGCTAGAGGAATAGGAGACACTGAGGGAAAATAAAAACTCTCAATTATTTTTTTTTCTGTATATTCTCCTGTTAGATGAATACATTTTTGAGATTTTTCGATTAATTTATTTGTACCCTCATACAAAAATGTTTTTCTCCTTTTCGACATAATACGAGGATCCGTGGAAAAATCTTTCCACGAAGCACTTTTTTCATTTTTGGAAAGAGGTAATAATCACTCGGGGCCAGGTCCGGATTATAGTACAAATATCCATGGCGTAAATATGAATGGCGTAAAACATCCAAAGCAAGATGTGGAAAAGTTTGCTATCGCTGCTTACTTTAATTACTTACTTGGCCCTGTGGGAAATGAGCCCGTGAACCCCGACGGCTAAGCCACCGCTTAGCAAATGCACCATGGAGTCACCACATACGTATGGTACATATCGCATATGTGACACATTTAAATCACAATGGGTCCATTGTATCACGAACGTCAGGTGAACGATTATAACGTGCTCGAATTAATGTCGGATACGCGTGACAATGGAAATTAGGGCGCCCTCAACGGTCCAGTATTTTCGCGATTATGCCGATAAAAGTTTATGGGCTGCATCTACACTGTTTTAGAACCTACAACACCAGAAAGTGTTAAAAAGAAAGTTAATTTTATTTTTCGTTAAAACAATGTTCCCTAACGGCGCAGTATGTACCTACCTCCTGCGTCAGAGGGTGTGGGTTCGATTTATTATTATACCCTAAAAGATTTTTAAGAAATAACCTCATTTCGTATCAATCCTCAAATCTTTCACGAAGTACATTCATTGTAATAAGAAACACGCATTTCGTCTATCGATAGTACTTTTTAAAACTACCACCGCTTTGTCATGAGGTTCCTCGAACTGTGAGGAAGCGGGCGAAAGAAACTCCGTAAGATACGCCTTCTCAAGGGAGTGGGTATAACAGATTTCATGGCTTCCCTATAAAATACGTCGTTGTGTTGCAGAAGTTGCGTTTCGAATTTTAAGTAAAAAGCGCCGGTGCAGAAACATCGCATTGTCAACCTGACCCCGCGCGACCTGAATCTAGGACAGTAGCCGTTGTAAAGAGGTCAGGTTAGCAGGGATTGCACGATCCCGTAAGCGCACTTCTTTATGGAAAAACAGATATTTCTGTTTCATGAACAGCACATTGTTTTCTCCGGCTGCAAGCCATTCGCACGCGAAATAGATGCCGTTCCAGGGGATTACAGGAGCATCTATTATAAACGCAGATCGTCTTTTGTTTATCGGAGTAAAAAAAAAACATTACACTTACTGTAGGATAAAATTATCCTGGGTTTTAAGGACATTTTACATACATAAATATCAAGTGGACAAACACAAAAAATTGTCTGTGGGTCACACAAACAATTGTCCCGTGTGGGAATCGAACCCACGTCCCCGACGTCAAAGCCGACGGCGAATACCTTGGCAACTGCGCCATGGAGCCATAGTTATTTTCGGCAAAAAAAAAAAGGCATTTTTATTAACAAAAAACACATCGACCAATTTATTATTCATTTTCTTATGGACTTTTAAGGAGTTCCCTGATGTATCCCCGGTATCTCCGAACTCAATGCATAAATAATTTGTAGTCAATAAATGACGGAGATCTGGGGTATGATCCATTTCCGAATTGACCACCATCTCCCTTTTCAAAGTCGGTTGAAAAGAGCAGAAATTGCTTCACCAATACCATTGCCTCTATTAAACAAAGATAAGCAAGCCTCTAGTAGTTTTGGTATGCCAATTCGCCGGGAAAGTACCACAAAACAGAAGTGGAAATGTTTACTTTAGCGTTTGGTGATTAATTTGACTGGAGATTACCGCCAAGAAAGGAAAACAAAAGCCGGCAGTGCACTTGCAATCTCGGGTGTTGGAGGACCTCTCATATATTATAGTACCTACAGACCTTTTATCGAATCTTCTCGAACTGCGCCGCTTGGATTTCGTGTCATCTACAAATCAAGACATGATGGTAACCTTTCATTCTAATAACTACCTCATTCTAATAACTAATTTCATTCTAATAACTAACTCATTACGCTTGAACCTCTGTCTTTCTATTCATTATCAATAAAAATAAATTGAACTCCGTAGATAGTTTGTGTAGGAAGAGTTTTGTATGGGGATTAGACTATTTTGGATTTTTTTTTAAATTACCACTTTAGGTATCCATGAATCTATCATAATTCGTTTTTTAAGACAGGCCGCCTCTCTGACGTCTAACCTCCTTGGAAAACAAACACCCAGATCCAGAACAATTAAGATCACACAAATAGTTGTACCGTATGGGAATCGAACACATGACTCCCGACGCGGAAGCTAATGGCATAGCAACGGCGTCACCGAATCACGATCCGTCGAAAATCTTGTATTTTTTTTTTCTGTATTTCTATTGCATTAGTCTTCGTAGCCAGTGATCGTCTTAAATCCAGCGAGTCGCTGGTTCAATACCGCGGAATTATTTTTAAGTACTCCGATAACATTTTTTTTTTTTTTTAAGAGACCAAAGACGTGGGTTCGATTCCCACAGCGGCGAATATCTTTTCGTACTTTTTCTACATGTTTTAATATTCCGATAACTGTTCAATGCTATATGCTATGTGCTTCCGCAATTCAGAAGAGAATCTAAATTCAAATTTATATAAGAAATTGTTCGTTTCTTATATAGGTATGCAGATTTTTTTACGTTATAAATCGGCAAACGAACAGTTCGCCTAATTTAAGTGCTCATCACGCCTAGAAGATCAACAGCACTCAAGAAGTGTTTCAGATGCATTAATAAGCTGTTAAAAGTTGGTCCCGCTTGGCTGCCAAAACGCGAAGGTTTACTATTACTACTGTAGTGTATATGCAAAAATCACATACATACATAAATAGACATAATTTAATAAGCTTGGTATATATGCAGAAATAGTATGTATACTTAAATAGATATACATTAATTATAAATAAATAAGTATATATGTTGACTGTCGTCTCCGGCTGCGTACGCGCGGGGCAACAATATGTGGAGGGTAGTAGTACCCTAGTGGTCACCAGTTCAGCTCCGACCACAGTGGTGTGAAGACGTGTGCGCAAGCCAGCGAGCCGATATTTATTGTGGCAAATTATTCGAAGTATTGATCGGTTATTAGTTCCCAGCACAAATAGATACACAACAACTACTATAACTTCATACCGATCTTCTGTGAAGCAGGTACTGACTTCATCTGACCCTTGCAACCCCACAAGCTACCCTATAATCCTATCACTGTTAAAGTCAATATATCTCATTTAAAGCTAATTTATCTCATTCCAAGTTTTATTATGAATTTTATTAGCCATTCGCACTTGCTCGTCACTTGATCCTTCCCCTAACATTACCTTATGGAATCATGGCCATCTTATCTAGTTACCGTTTCCAAGGTTAGTCGTAATCAATGCCATCAACGAAGTGAATGTCGAAAATTTTAGCTTATTAATTTGAAAAAAAAAAAAAAGAATATAAGTGTAAAAAAAACTAAAACAGCACGTGAAGTGACGCATAACATTTTGCAGAGAAATTGTGAATTGAAATAAATAATTATTAAGTGACATCGGTGGTGGTTTTGAGTTGCAGTGTTTCGAGAGTGAGTTAGAACTCTTCAGTTGTAAAGACTACTGAATCATTACATCGTAAACAAAATGGGGACTGGTAAGGTGGACTGGAGAATGTCAAAAATGATGAATCCTTGGCGCAGTTGCCAAGGTATTGGCTTAGGCGTCGGGGGTCGTGGGCTCGATTCCCACACGGGATAACTATTTGTGTGACCCTGGGTGTTTATCCACGTGAAATTTATGTTTGCAAAACGCCCTTACAACACAGAATAATAATGTTATCCCAAAGTAATTGTATGTTTAAAAAAAAATGGATGACCCTGTAATAGATTATTAATTTATATTATTATGTATTATTAATTTATATTATTAATTAGTAATTTTAATTTAATTCTTAATTTGTAACGCTGTTGATGATTTGTATGTTGTTTGTACCTATAATTGGAGTAGCATCAATCTTGTATTTTGGTTTCTTTTTTTTTTAACTTGTGTGATGGTGTCTTCTCTGTTGGTGCAACTAAATAAATAAATAAATAGATAAGAGACGGGAAGCTGTCACTTGCGAAGACTGCTGAATCGTAGTATATCATAAACATAATGGGTAATGGTACGGTGGAGTAATGTTCAAAGTGGATTGCCGCCCCGCTCACCCTGTTCTGGATAAGACACGCGGAGATGTTGTGATTGCAGAAGATCCTGATGCCGTACACGTACATCCTGCAAGTGCCGGGCAAGCAGATCCGCAAGAAGCTCTCAATGGCGTTCAACTACTGGCTGAAGGTCGGCGACGACAAGTTGCGCGCGATTGGCGAGATCGTCCAGATGTTGCACAACTCCAGTTTGCTGTGAGTGTTTTGTATCTTTTTTTAGTTAAAAGGCGGCAAACGAGCTGACGGATCACCTGATGTTAAGCGATGACCGCCGTCCATTGTCATTCGCAACGCCTTTGCTTTAGATTTAATAGCTAGTTTTTTTGTAATCTTTTCTATTTAATCTTTACCGACAAAGCTAAGCGGCCGATGATTTAACGGCGCGAAAATCACGACGTCTATCTACGATCTTTCTATTGCATTTTAGCAATGCTTAGCGCCATCTAGTGTGCATCCCTCGAAGCATGTAACACCTTACAAAAGTCGGTAAACGATGAACATTTGTAACGAGCACTAAAAATGAGAATTTATCCTAAAATTAATAGCTTGTGTTTACATTCAAATAAATCACGTCGTTTTACTGGACAATTATTAACAATATTATTAACCGCTGGATTTGACGGCTCAATATTAAGGCATGACGCTTACGTCATGCGGCTATTGTTTCGGCTTCGTTCCTATTAAGTTCTCATGACAGCGTCTCAAAAGCATTCTTGATTCCTTATCGAAGAGGAACATCTAACTATTGCAGAATATTTTCACGAGCGGTGATTAGGGTAACGTAAGATGTTGCAAATGTCAATGGGCGGTGATTATCACTTAACATCAGGTGAAACGCCGGCTAGCTTGCCACCTTCTCACAAAAAAAGAAATTGAATGGAAAACCTATCGAAAGGATATGACGTGTTGAATGAGTCTCTCAAATAATCCACTGTTTAGTCGACTCGGAAATATGCACCATTCCGTTTAAAACCCTCAATTTTTCACCAATACGTTATAGACTCTGATGGTTACAATAATTAAATATTAATGAACTAAGTAATTAGCGGGTTGCGTTGCGAGAGACGTCTATTTATAAACGTCTGTACATAACTTTTTGCGTGCCGTCTGATTGTATGTTACTAACCATTAGCAAATAATTTCGATACTATCTTCCATGACTTGAAATGCAGCGTTGAGGTTATCCTTAGAATAGGATTCATGTTATTATGATGAGTTGTTATCCGTACTGATAGCTATTGTGCCCATTACGAAAATAAGCCAATGTAGGTTTATGTTAATTCAAAGAAAACAATTACCACAGTTGCTTCTTTAATGCAACGATCTTTGATTCGATTTGATTGCTTGATCATGATAGTGTTTCACTTCAACGTTTTCAGGGTTCCGTATCCGAAGGGTAAAACGGGACCCTTTTTTATTATTAAGACTCCGCTGTCTGTCTGTCCGTCCGTTTGTCACCCGGCTGTATCTCATGAACCGTGATAGTTAGACTTCAAAAATTGTTAAATAATGTTATAGATTAGGTTTTATAAGTTAGATTTTCAAGATTATATTATGTTAGATTTTGTAATATTATAAACTTTTTACTGGTAATATAGTTTTTTGAAATCGTTTCTTTTTGTTTTTGTTAAAAAACTTTGCATTTTTGGGTTAATCACTGGACTTGGCGTTATCGTCTCGTGGTAACTATTGCGGCTTCCATGATTTCTTTATATTGGATTGACACGGATCGTGCAAAATATGTTATCAAATACATCCTTCCTGTTGATAATGTTATTAGCCTAGTTGGCTCGTGAAACTGACAGGCACGTTCCAGTTATCTGTTTACACGGACAATAGAATTAGTCGATTGTTTTCCATACTCTAACTTATAGACTCTAGTCTGTGTTCTGATTAGTTGGATACCTCAAAATTAGTCGACCAAGTTGGATAAAAGTTAAAAAGCATATTTTAAAGTTGCAATAAATGCTTACGCACTAAATTAAATACTAATAAACAGGAGTTTTTAAGTGTATCAAATTCATATACCTTGAATTGTAAAACTAAAAATTTTACGTGAACTCGGAGCGAGAACCTAGTATTGTATCCAAATGATAATGACATCTATCGTCAGCTATAGACTATGCGACTATAAAAACATAGTAAATACTCAGTGCCGCTCAAGAATAACTAAGACATTACACAATTATTTGTGGATACATACAATCAAGTAAAAGTAAAGTAACAGCCTATACACTTCCCACTGCTGGGAAAAGGCCTCCTCTATACAGAGGGTATCAGGGCATAGTCCACCACGCGGCCCCACTGCGGATTGGCGGAATTCACATATCTTCGAAAAATATTTCTTTTGGTATTATTTCGAAAATATGCAGGTTTCCTCACGATGTTTTCCTTCACCGCGGAGCACGTGATACATACAGCCACTTCTAAAATAACCCATTCGATATCATCAGACCAAATTTTTTATTACGAATAATCACTTTTGATGTATTTTAAACAAACTATTCTTTTTTATGTGAAAAGTTGGCAAACGAGGAGGTGGTGCATATTATACAGCGTGTCGTTACCATCGCGACAATAAATGAACACACATATAGGGGATAACTTTTTAAAGTTGTATTAAACATTTAAATACTTCAAACATCAATATTTACAGAGTTATTAAATTTTACAAAACAAAGAATTTTAGAACACCCTTATACCTATAAAAGCATAACGTAAAGTTCATTTGTAAAGGTCACAAAGCATATGAATGGGTTGAATGAATTTAAAAGAGACAAAACATACTGTTAGAAGGAGAGGCTTGTAATACGACGCTGTGGCGCGAGTTGTATAGGTGTTACAAATTTTGTTTCTTTTTTACTTAATTAGTTTGTTTGATAAATATATTTTTTTAATTATGGATTTTGTTTAACGTTAATATTTTTTTAAGATTATTGGCAAGTAGCGTTAGACGTGTGTTCATTTATTGTCGCGATGGTAACGACACGCTGTATATATTAGTGCAACAGCGAAGACTGTTGCTTGGCTCTTCCCCAGTTATCACAGCGTTACATATTTAAATTCTTTAATCTTTTTCTTGGTGTGATTTAAATATTTCTCTCCTTATTCCTTCTGCCCTTACAAACACACACTTTTTTAAGTACCCGCGGGCTTTTCTGTTGCATTGTTGATTGAAGTAGCATGACCTCACAGAAGACCGGCGTGTTGTGTAAGTGCTATACTTCATTAAAAGGTGACAACGCATTTGCAACCCTACGTTACCGCAGGTGGCTATGGGCGGCGGTTATCACTTAACATCAGGTGAATCGCTTGTGATCTTCTCCCATAAAAAAAGAAAAAATAAATTTTACTCGTTGTTACTCGCTAATTAATCTTTAAATGGTCTGTGTGTACAAACGCTGAGGGCTTCATGTAATTGCAAAACAAGTCTCCGATGGGGCAAGTCGACGCGACTCTGCAATTTCATTTGATCGTCGTAATTAGCCGCTTGGTAATAACAATTTAATGACGTAGCGACGCCCGCGATCATTCTAGTGTTCGCTAATTGGCTCCGCTCCGTTTCATTGCGTCCTTAATTTGTTTTTCACATTTTAAATTTCGAATCGAAATTGAACACCACATCGATTATAATTGTAATATTATGTGCACATGTTAAGCATCTATACACCAAAAGGATAAAAAAAATGCACAGAACACAGACATTTCCAAGTATAATGAGAGTATTTTTTATTTGCCGCCATGTCAAAATTCTCCATTTTGCAAAAGTTTAGATTTCAAAGTTCGCTTGAATACTTATAATTTAATGTTAAAGATGCCCCTCTGTCAGATTTGTTTTCTTAATCGAACAGCAGTGAAGACTAGGGTAAACTTTGTCAACAGTGTCGACGACATACAGGACAACTCGATCCTGCGTCGGGGAATTCCCGTCGCCCACTCGATTTACGGGATCGCGAGCACCATAAACGCGGCAAACTACGCTATGATCATTGCCCTCGAGAAGACTTTGGAGTTGGGACATCCCCTGGTAATCACACAATGTATCTATCATCCTACGTATAGCTATAAAATTATTGAGCAGTTAGTTTGACAGACACTGTTACTGTACGAGATTAATTTATCCGTGCATATATTGGATATAACAGAATGAGATGTCTTAGTGGCAAATGTTTGATGCTTCAGTGGCAAGTCGTTCTTAACTCCCATTTTCCATTACGGGTTCCTTCTAGGCAACGACCGTGTACACTGAACAGCTCCTAGAATTGCACCGCGGCCAGGGAATGGAGATCTACTGGCGCGACAACTTCCAGTGCCCCTCGGAAGAGGAGTACAAACAGATGACCATTAAAAGTAAGAGAGTGAATCTATAGTTACTCTCAGAATAAGACCGACTTATATAGCTTTGTGGACTCGATTCCCACACGGGACAACTATTTGTCAGACCCATAGATAGTTGTTTTGCATCTGGCTGTTTGTCCGCGTGAAATTTATGTTTGGTAAACTTCCTTACAACACAGGATAATGTTATGCTTATGTAAGGGAAATGTTTTAACAACAGACTAGATTAGTAACTAATAGGACAGAAAGTTCTGAATTTCGTAGTAATTATCAATTATGCAATACTCTTAGGTGAATTTAATGTTGAGTTCCAAGATGGATTCGAAGAATGACCGTGCCATGCCAAACACTTTCGGACAAGCTTGGAGAAGTAGCAATTTTTGGACCTTTGGTAAAAAAATCGAGGTTTTTATTCATGGATCTCAAAATAAATTGTTTGTTGATAAAAAACTCTCGGATAGGATTGGGATTGCAATTCTTTCACTGGACCTATTTACCTAAATAAATTTTCCATTACATATGTTTCTGACTTTTAGTTTTTTTTAGGAAAGGAAATTTTGTCTTTTTCACAGAAACGGGAGGTCTCTTTATGCTGGCCATCCGTTTAATGCAGTTGTTCAGTGAAAACAAGTCTGACTTCAGCCGCTTAACGTCGATACTCGGCCTCTACTTCCAGATAAGGGACGACTATTGCAATCTCTGTTTGCAGGAGGTACGTACGTACGTTGCATTCCTGTAATTTCCAGCATTGGCTGATCTAAGTGACGCGTGAAGGTCTGAGATGGCGTTGTAGCCTTCGGGGCGAGTCCAAATTGAAAGACTGACTTTGACCTTGAAATGACCTTTAGCTGATGTCCGCAGTACTCGGAGAACAAGAGCTACTGCGAGGACCTGACTGAGGGCAAGTTCAGCTTCCCCATCGTCCACGCCATAAGGAGCCAGGACTCGGACAACCAAGTGCTTCGTATCCTTTGCAAATCGATCATCAGTTCAAATCAAGCAATTAAATCGATCCAGTAGGAGATTTAAGAGTGCCAATATCTACCATCTGTAGAGTAGACGATAGTCTTCATAATTCCACGATGAAATGTACCAATGGACTATTTTTTATCATTAAGCTCATCGATGAAGGGAACCAAGTTAGGAATTGTGATATTTTTCGTGTCGAATAAACAAACGAATTGGATTTCGATCGTTTTGTAAAAAAAATTGCCGACGACATCTCGATCGACACAAGCCTCGCGTAGTTTGTGACTGGATAACGTTCTGTTAAAAAATGTAGAGTCTTCAAGAAGAGAGCCTATTCCTACCTTAAAGGCCGGCAACGCGATTGCGACTCAACCGATGTTGCAAATGTCCATGGGCTGCGGTGATCGCTTATCGCCAGGTGACCCGCATGCTAGTTTGCCTCCTAATCCCATAAAAAAAAAAAATGTGTCATGGAAAAATTTAAGGAAGGAACTGAACCCCGACCCTCCCACGTGGGTACGGGCGATCCTTAGCGAATTCAGACATCCTACGTCAGCGCACGCGAGACGTGGAAGTGAAAAGGTACTGCGTCGCTTTACTGGAGCGGCTGGGGAGCTTCCAGCATACGCGCAACGCTCTGTATGCTTTGGACGCGGATGCGAGAAAAGAGGTCGGTTGTCGCGACTTTCACTCATTCGTTGTCAACGCTTCTCTCTCTTTCTTTCTTTATAATGCCTTTTTTTCTTAAACACAAGCCACTCCTTACGCCTTATGGCCAGCTAATTCATTCATTAGTTGTTAACGCTCCCCTTCTTTATTTCTTTATTCATAATACTTTTACTCTTTATTTATATTTTTTCTTTATCTGTCATTCATTCGCTACTCTTTCTTTATTTCCTTGTTTATAATACTTTTTTTTCTTAAACACAAGCCACTCCTTACGCCTTACGGGCAACTAATTCATTTATTAGTTGTCAACGCATTCTTTATTTGTTTATTAATAATAATTGTCTTTCTTTATTAATAACACAAGCCACTCTTTATAACTTATGTGTCATTCATTCATTAGTCGTCAACTCTCTACTCTTTCTTTGTTTCATTATTTATAAGGAACTACTCTTCTTTTATTTGTTAATAACAAGACTCTCCTTATACCTAAAGTTCATTCATTGGCCGTCAACGCCCCTGTCTGTCTATTTCTTTATTCATAATAATTTTTTTTTTCTTTATTAATAACACGAGCCACACATTACACCTAATGTGTCATTCAATCTTTGGACGTTCACGCTCCTCTTCCTTTATTTTTTCATTTATAATAACACAAGTCATTCTTCTTCACTTCTTTCTTTATGATATTCTTACAATTTTATTATTTATTAATAACACGAGCCAATCTGTAGTATAATATAATTATATAAAGTATTCTTATATGTATATATAGAAGGATAATATACTTACTTCGGGAAATTAGACATCGTCATATCAGCCGGATAAAAGGTTTCGCGGTCGCCAGGTGGCGCGACTGGGCGGGAACCCGCTTTTGGAGTCCCTCCTTGACGAGCTACTCAGCTGGCGGCGGGACAAACAGAACAGCTACACGGTCGAGTAGACCGCCCCGACATATCGATAGCCGATTTCAGTGATGCCCCGAATGTAATACACCAACTATTGTCGAAATCTAGATGCCCTGGTCTATTGTCGATATCTACCGGCCCATCTATACAACGATGTTTTGGAATGTTTTTCAGTTTTACTCGTTAATTTATTTCATTCAGTCGATACTATTATTATTAGTTGGTGTTATTTTCAATTTCATAGCCGATCGGATGAATGCCCTAGTGAGGATGTTTCACTTAAAATTTCGCTGAATGGTATTCGTATGACATGCTTGAAAAACTAAAAGCTGCTTAATAAAAAAAACAGCTCGCAAATAAAATGATATCATTTAGAAATGTAAACGGTTATAAATTTGGCGAAATAATAAATACTTCGTTACAAAGTTGTTAACGTTAATGTTACGTTAAATATGTTAATTATTTTTAGATAAATTACCTAACTGTTTACAAGGGCTAAAAAATCCAAGGCAAAGAGAATTGTGATAAAATTGTCTGTATGAGGATTCTGATCAAAGTTGGAGATATTTTTTAAGTTTTACGCATTATCCTTCTCTAGTATCTACATAATACTTCACAGTATCCGTTGTAATTTATTTTTGACGTTTTCCCACGCAACGGAATCGTTGCAACCGCTTATTAGGCCGTTAGTTTATTAGACGTTACTTAAATTGTTGAATTATTGTTTCGTACTTATTCTTAATTGATTTTGCATGGTGCAAATTTAAAAGACTTGTTTAGATGCTAAAGAAATATTGTAAAGCTTTGAATATTATGACTCTTTTTAATCTGTCCACTTTAGATTTAGCATTGTGGGTTTTTGTTTTGAGGTTTTGATGGCTTAAAGGTCTTGTTACCAGGCCATAAAATCTTTATTAAAAAGTTGAGGTTTTGACATGGAGTTTGCGAATTAATTGAATTTATTGTGTCATATTTATTTCATCCGAAAGTGTTTAAAACGAGTTAAGGGCGTTAGTAAAGTATATAAAAGACAATATTTATGGTAACAATACATCAAATACACGCAGTATTTTGAAAGTTGTTTTCAATTTTCTCCTTACCAACTTAATTTTTGTTTTATTTTAAATAAAAATGCCAACCATATGTCACATGGGACATTGCATTTGACTAGCAGACAGATATTTTTATTTTATAACTGGTCGTGTTTCATGTACTTAGTGACGTATACTATCAAAATTGACTACCATTATGATAATAACTTTATTAGTAGGTTATTATATTTAAGTAATTTTAAGCTTATGCATTTTTAAATAGAATTTTTCAAGTAATTTTTTAGCTTTCCGCTACACAATTATACACGTAATTAGTATGCTAATATTTATTTTAATATCATACAACTTTTTGTAAGTGGTAACAAAATTTCATAGATATATTTTAGTATATTTTTTTTCCTCAGTTTATTGTTTTATTTTTAATATTTAAACGTTTTGCATGTTTTCATTATGGTGGAAAGATTTATAAATAAAGCAGTAATATGAAATTTTTTTGTTTAAGTATATATTTATGAGTTAAAATGATTTATGTATATATTTGTTTCCTTTAATTTTACGTACAAATCGCCTGTTGTACTATTATTTAATCTTTAACATAGCTTTATTTTAAAATATTTTTTTATTCTTGAACAGTGATTTCAATTTTTTGGGAATTATGTTGTCCACGTATTGTTTTGTTATTTAAAAATATATTTTTTTTTCCTACAACTTTTCTCTTATTATTATTTCGTCCGAAACACTGTGTCTTCCAAGATATGACAATAACATTTGAGAATTTTATAGGTATAGGTTCTTTTTTAATAAATATCAAAATTTGTCCTGCTTTTATTAAAATGGACAAATTATAGCTAATGCACAAATGAACGCCTATGAACGCATATCTGTTGAACCACTGCCGAAGAATGAATCACAATCAATGTAAATTAAATATAGGTAATATTTAATTTTACCAGATTAGTTTTACCAAATTACGAGAATAATAGACGTTTCGCAAATGTTAGATTTGTAAGTTATGGCAAATATAGATAATTATTTAGAATAGAAGTAGACGAGAATTGATCCGAATACATTATTGTACTTTAATTTAAAAAAAAAGATTTTTTTTGTTCCGGTAAAATCACTTGCCCTTTATGAGGCCTTTACAGATTGGGGCGCCCGCTAGCGGATTTGTTTCCCCAAATCACTTAGGCGCCCCTACAGGCGTCACACGCTTCTGTAGTCTGTAGGTCTCTATACAAAGATGAACATACATCCTGGCAGATCATGCGGCTTTGTTGACGTAGCCTAATAATAGATTAGCGAGTAATCCATAGAAACGGTCTACGCATCACAACTTTACACTTATGAGGCCAAAATTGTACTAGCCACGCTGTATAAGGCGAGCGTTAGTACGCGTTTTATCGTTATCAATACCCTGAAATTAGTAAGTTAATTATGGAACAGTATCGCGTAGAAGAATTAATTAACAAGAATTAAGGAGTAATGCGTAGCAAATTTAGCGCGTTTTTTAATTTTAGTATGTAAGTAGGTGACATGGTTTTCGCCTTCGTAAATGAAATGTTTCTTTGGTTTTTTATTTGTCGTTTCTGTAATATGTATATGAGGTTAATTGTTGACAAAACTTTTTCAGAAATTACGAACCCTTTCAAAAATTATGTAATGTGAATGCTAGTTGTTGGCTTAAATGTATATTACTTTTTTTTTATTTAGGACATTTTTAATAGAATACAGAAAAATAAAGATGCATTACAGATAACTGTTGCATTTTTATATCAATCGAGATGTTTCGTTTTTTGATTGATTGATGATATTGGTTTTTTTATTGTTATCTGACCCTGTACCCAATGTACTACATTCAATTTTATTTAGGACACTATTTTTTACATTATATGTGTTAAACACGAAATAAATATATAATATGGATCTCGTAGTTTACTCGCGATTAGTAGAAATATTAATTCAATTTTGTAGGCGACCTAATAAAGCTTATTAAAAAATACAGATTTTTATTTTGTATCTTCTCTTTTATAATAAACCCTGAAAGAACGGGACAACGTTATCGAAATATATAAACGCTTTTACCAGGATTTAGCTCGTTTGACTTGTGTTAGTGGGTATTTGATGTATTATAATTGGTATGGGTTGGTATGGAACAACATCAATCATCAATACGGTCAAAACAACTAAAAATAAAGTATTTTTGTAGGTAATTTACATCAACTTCAAAACTCAATGAATAGCGAACTCAGTTTTGTATGTGGACAATCTCGTGTACATTTAAGGTACGAGTACACATCAAAAGTAATACGTACTCTGGTATTAAACATTTTATGACAGTGATTCTAAAGATCACTTCAACGAAGCTATGCGGATTGACTGAGCCAATTAGATCCGTATTAGTTTGTTACGGGACGTGCATCTTGAATGAGACTTAGAAAATGGTAATTTTAGAATTTGAAAATAAGTGCGAAGGCAATATCTCCCAATCCATCTATGCTTAATTTATTTATGGTTTACGCCATTGCAAAATTATGTTCTGTTCTGTATTAAACAAATTTATGTTCTGTTATGTGGGTATAGGTTTTAAGGTAATCTATCCCCTGACACTGAACGATTGTTGACAATGTTTTAATTAAGATAACGATAGTTGGTTATCGTCTACGAGCACGTACGAAACCAATATGCGTGTATTGGGCAACAACCGATTAATACAGGGGTGAGCAACCTTTTTAATCAATGGGCCAATTTAAATTTAAAATTTTTTTGGCGGGCCGCACATAATAATTTACGAAACTTTATTTATAATAAATATTAGAATTAAAAAATACAAAATTAAAAAAAAGTAAAGATTTCATATACAAATTTTAATGCAAGGTAAAACCAAACAAGAAAAGAACAGAAAAACGAATAAAAAATATTTCGGTTCAGTATGTACTACCATTTTATTATAATTAATTTTATAACACTATATTGATGGTAGAAATTCGATAAAATAAATTCAATTTTAGAAATGCTTGGCGGGCCGCATAAACATGTCTAACGGGCCGCGCGTTGCTCATCCTTGGATTAATACATTCAACGTCCATCGGGCTCAAGATCCATACCGAACCTCAATGTCCCGTAGGCAGTGTTACCAACTGTTAAAAAAATACCCTCTAAAAACCCTCTAAAATTCCATAAATTCAAACCAAAACTATTTTTTTATTTCATTTAGGAAGTTTTGCTTTGAATTTACCTCCTAAAAAACTTCCATTGTTGGTTTTCCATTCCTAAGTAGGCATCCGTGCCCGTAGGTGGCCTTCCTCCTATCATATAACGCTCGCATAAGCACATGCGTGCCCGTACCCAACGCGGAGGGCCGTATCAATCGGCAAAGAGTACTTTTGTGTATCTGTCAATCGGGCTCGTGAAATCTGGCTAGCCTTAACAGCAATCACACTTTTTCAAATTAAACTTAATTAAAAAGTAGCAACGCATCTGCAACTCTACGGTTGCCGGTTGTTGCAAAAGTCAAAGGGGGCGGTTATCGCTGAAAATAAGGTGAACCGCCAGCTCGCTTCTCTTCTCATCTTTCATGAAAATAAAAGAATAATTAAATTTTAAAACTTATCGAAGTACATAAAAAGAAAACATTTTCACATTAGATAACGCCAAGCATTGTTAAATTGCAATAAAAACAAGAAGTATACGGAATTTCGAGGTTTTCGGCGGCGAGGATGTCGACCGTTGCCCGTAGGACCTACGGAGAACACGCCTGCAATGCGGCAATTTGAACACCTGTTGACAGTGCTCGATGTTTAAACTAAGCCAATACGAAAAAATAACAAAAATGCATTTTTGTAAGTTTTAACCTTTTATAAAGAAATTGCCTAAAAATTTGAGGGTATGTAAAACATAGAATAACAAACTTATCTTTCTAATTGTATACACATTAACAAACGATTGGATATATTTTCTAAAAAATTAGAATATCTAAGTAGCCTAGCTAGCATACGGTGACACATTACTAAAATAATGTTGAATTTCACCTGAAGTTCTTATTCCTTTTGGGGAAGGATATACCTAATATTCTACATCAATTTAATGTTATGAAGCGCTCTATCGTTACGTATCCTTTGTAACGTAATATCAGTTCAATGAACTTTTTTTTATCATATAAATAAAGAATAATGCGGTGTAATTTTCAAAACCCACCTAAACGTTAGGAAATAGAAAATGTAGAATACTTCCGCCAAAAAGGCGAAAACAAAATCGAAAACTAATTACTGCTATACATCCAGTGGCTCTATCTCATTAATACCGATAACCTTAACGATAAACGAGCGAAAAAAAAAAGTATAAAAGGCGGGAAACTTGGTCGACTACGATTGACTAGAAACATGAAGAGGATCCTAGCTTTGTTCGTGGCGTTCGTGTTGATAGCGAACACGATGCAACAGCTACCTACGCTCCCTTGCTTGGGTTTGAACGAGCGTTTCGTCCCGTGCAAAGATTCGTGCATACACGACACGTGCGACCATGTCGCGACGCCAATCAGCTGCGTCAGCCTGCTGCCGTGCATCGGCGGCTGCGTCTGCCAGCTCGGATTCCTGAGGAAGAACGAGTCCGCCCCCTGCATGCCCATCGTGAACTGCTTCCTGTAGCACGAGCCCCCGGTACCGGTCATAATATTTTAATGAACACTAATGGATATTGCAGGACACATTTTTACACGACCTTCTATAGCCCTAAACTAAGCAAAGTTTGTGTTATGGGTACTAGGTAACTTATAAACATACTTTTCCTTTGTCGTTAGAAAAACACCGTGTTCATCACACAGTATTTTTGCAGTAGTGGGGATCGAACCCATACCCTGACGAGAGACATGGTCACTATTCACTAGGCCAATTCGGTCGTCATTAATTCAACCAGAGTATCTCTCACTAGCTGATTCCGACCACGTTTCGCTGTGGCTTTTATCATTTCCTATTCGATTTCGAAACAAAAAGTGTATGAAAAAATTCTCCTGTCCCATAGGAATGCTGTGAATAATTATCATGTCAATCCATCTAGTTTTATGTCTTCTGATACAAAAATATTGAAGCTAAATTTTTATGCATAAAGATTATAAGAAAAAAAGTTCAAAATATTTAAAACTTATTCTTCCAATTCCAATTCCAATTTTAGGTTTATGGCTCCATCAACATATAAACTTATTCTTATTAAAACTTATTCTGTAACGAAATCGATTATGACAGTTGATGAGGGTGGTCGTTGCAGAAATTATTAACGTGGACGTTTTCGTTTTCGTAAAATTATTATGTCGAGTAAAACATACGTGAATATTTTGAAGCATCAAGGGAGATGGAAATAATAAATATTTTTAGAGGAAAAATTTAAATGTAAATGTATATTTCATTTCATTCAATCACTTTTATTGTTTACATTAATTTTTAAACAACTCTCATTTTTGTTCTAATAAATAATTTATTAAAAATAATAATTTATTTCAGATGATACAACTTTGCAGTACGGCATCTCCTACAGAAACTGACAACAAATAAACCGAAGAATTACCTTATGTCGCATAGACAGATGTAATAAATTGATTCTTTTTTTAAGTTTATGATTAGTTACGATTAAAACATGTACAATACAAATGCCTACATTAAATAAAGTTATTAACAGGTGATGGCACATTAATTTATGTTATTTACATCATTAAAATTAAATGTCGCAAAAATTATTCATCGAGAACCCGTTTCATGTTTCACAATAGAAATCGCAGAACTATTAAGATAATTAAAACTGTATTATTATCATAATCACCATCATTTCAGAATGTTTGAGTCCATTGCTGAAGCATAGGCATAGGCCTTCTCCACTGTTACAGACGAAGTACGCTCCTGAGCTACCTTCAACATTCCTAATATACTCCTACTCTAGTGGAGTACGTCCTACACTGCAATGGCCAGTACGAGGCTGCCACTTGACTAACTTTCCCAACGGTTATCGGTTCTTCGAATTATGACGCCAATTTAGCTTGATAATCTTCTGAGCTACGTCGCTTACCTTTGTTCTACTGCGGATGTCTTCGTTACAAACTCTATCACGCAGAGAAATACCGAGCATAGCCCGCTCCGACCTACGGCTGAGCAACTTGGAGCTTCCCCATACGGCCATTAGTGAAGGACCACGTCTTGGTTACATAGGTCAACACTGGCAAACTGTATGATACATATCTGAATATATTTAAGTAACGGTGGTAGGGCCACGCAACGAATGGGCAGGCCCGTCCGGGTAAGTACCACGACCTCACAGAAGACCGGCATAAAGTGGAAATATGACAAATACTTTCGCGTTTCGTCTGGTGAGTGACGTAGCCGGCGCCCAATTTTCAAAAGGTTGTTAACGCATCTGTAACCCTCTGGTTAAGCAGATGTCCATGGGCGGCGGTATTCACTTACCATGATGTGAACCGTCTGCTCGTTTCGCAACTTTTCACAAAAAAAAAATATTTGGTTTGAATATATTTTCTTGGAATACCTATAATGGTTCGCATGAAACGGAAGCAAGATATAACAGGCCCAAACAACGTAGGGGCGTATCGAACTATCGGAATATAGGTGTTATTCCAGGTGCTCTGCATTTGATAAACCTTCAGTCAGTACTGTACTGAAAGTGTGATATAATATGTGATATATACAATATTACAGAATGAGATGAACTATTTGAACACAAGAATAGAAACAACAAAAGAAGTCCGTAATTACTTTAATCAGAGGCTAGCAAAAAAATACCAAAAAAAGAGAATTTCGAAATGTGGGGTTGTTAAACTTAGAAACATATGTATGTGAATTATTCATAATACTCGTTTTCATTAATGCTTCTTTGTTTCATGGTATTTTCTTTAATCAAAAAACTATTCCAATATACTGACTGAAGAGTTGCTCAGTGTTTTTTACGATAGTATTGCACTTTCTTAAAAATTTTAATATGTCATTACGTTGAAGTGCATTTCAAAAACCCGTCCTACACTGTCACGGATGAGAGAGGTGCCTACTTCGTGTATTAATGCAATTTGTAAAACATTAATGTAATTTGACATTGCTTAATATTGAATAACGTGATCCAAGAAACTTTAGGGACGTCTATAAAAGGTTGTAGATGCCGAAAAATTCACTTGCAGAAAATCGCTGTCAGTACGTTTCGTACGTCATTGAATAAACACTATTTTATTAAATAAACAGTAATATTTTTGAATCAGGATTGAAGTTCAGTTAAATTTATTTTTATATAATTGCTATTTAAGTGATGATGATTACCGATATTATTGAGTAACGAAATTCGAATTTGGCTTGTTCTGGTAAATGAATACTAGGAGGTACTACAACCCCGGGGCCTCCAGAAAAGAGGGGCACAAGACACGTGGGAAAAAAAATTCAATTCAGAATAGTAAACAACTTTTTTCTTCTGATTGTTCGGCGAAAAAAGCTCGGAAGGTTCCGTTCGTTAACGCTAAAATTTAATTTTTAGATAATTCTTGTTTCCGATTATATTTATACGTTCATTAAATAATAAAATAATCTATACTTGGTTTCACATAATTAATTTATTGGAAAACTCGACTGAAAAAAATTGTCCATTTTATTTGTAAAATAATTTGGGGCCAAGGGCCCTCCACTCCTTTGTTGCCCCGAGGCCTACAGACCTCTAAATCTAATCCGGCCCTGAGTACTAGCAATGATATAATACTTTAAAATGGACGACAAAGCACTTTAAGGGAAGTAAATTATAAGAGGAGATGTCAAATAAATTACTGCTACCCATGGACGCCTACAAGTCTACAACAACTAATGAACTACAGTTGTGCTGTTATGTAATGCTTTTCTACTATTTGAACCTCTATTATTGCACTAAGCAAAAGAAATTCAATAGAAAAAATACTTATACAACTTCACTTATATATACGATTTGTGAATTTCCCTGTCACAGAGACAAGTAGGGACGGGTCATTGCACTGAATTATTTATTCTGCGTAACTGTACTATAGAAGAGTAAAATGTGACCTCTAAGAGAGTAAACAAAAAGATCAATGTATTTACTTTCAAAGTACACAACAGACGTGAAGTACCAATGGTGTAACATGCCTGCTCTTTGTGGCCGGATTATAGTTAAATCAATAGTTTAAAATAGCGGTCTCTTCCAAGAGTAAAATTAAACAAAAATGACTCGGTGCGACCGACCCTTTGGGATCTTTTAAGTAATAATGGCATAAATACTAGTATTTGAATTTTAAATTTGTAACCTTTAGATACGGCGAGTGCACTCTGATGAAATTAAACATTCAAAAAGCTGACCCGAACCTGGATCTATTATGACTGGATGGACAAATCACTAGCTGTAGGCAATGTTTAAAATGATAAAGTTAACAATAACAGAAAACGTTAAAAATAACAATAAATTCTATAAAATATATTCATTCGTCTTAGTTTACTGCTGGGAACGACTAATATTATTATTACAATCGTGTAAGTTAACAATACACCCGACACCAAAATAAATGACTCAAAGATAAATTTAATTAAAACAAAAGCGTTATCGGGTTTTTACAACATGTTAAATAGCCAATGAAACATCTCATTCACCTTCCATTACTAATCATGAATAATGTGTACGTTACAATAGTAGAATGACTGTGTTTTACAATTCTAAACGTACAAATTATAATTATCTGTTGATTATAAATGACGTTCGATTTAAGATGGCTGACAGATGGATTAGAGAAATAGAAAAAAAAATCGTTAAAACACTAGATAAAGGGAAACGAATGAAACAATTACAGACTAATAATTAAACATTGTTGAATAGTCAACAGATTAGTTTTAACATTAAAGATATAATAAAATAATAACGGATACAAAACGGTTAACTGTGATAGGGCCATGCAAGTCTTCGCTTTTGCACGAATGGGCAGGTCCATCTGATATGTACCACGACATCACAGAAGACGGGCGAGAAATAGAAGTGTCTTTTTGTCTGGTGAGTGAGACATCCGGGGCCCACTTTACTAGAAGGTGGCAAAGTGCATTTGCAAACCCTATGGGTGTTGCAAATGTCCATAGGCGGCGGTTATCGCTTAAAATCAGGTAAATCATCAGCGCGCTTGCCACCTTCCCACATAAAAAAATAAAGAAAAGATCCTTTCTGTGGTCGTTTCGTGTTTACTTTGCTGTGTAGCCGATCATGAACTGAACGAAGGCGAACGAGGTGTTTGTTCCGTGCAAAGATAACTGCACCAGGAACACTTGAGACGCCGCCACGTTGCCCATCAGCTGCATTAGCTCAAAGAAATGAAATATACTTCATTGTACAGTATATCTGAAATTGAATAATCAACAACAAATACTACAAATCTGTAAAATAGGCGGCCTTATCGCTAAAAGCGATTCTTCCAGGCATCCTAGAAAATAGAGACATAAAAACAGTAGTACCGGGTAAGGGTATAACACTGAAGTGATAACAGAAACTAATAAATATAAAATAAATGTTAATAAATTATACATAAATATAGACTACAAACAACATATACAGCGTGTCGTTACCATCGCGACAATAAATGAACACACATATAGGGGATAACATTTTTAAAGTTGTATTAAACATTTAAATTCTTTAAACATCAATATTTACAGAGTTATTAAATTTTCCAAAACAAAGAATTTTAGAACACCTTACCTATAAAAGCGTAACGTAAAGTTCATTTGTAAAGGTCACAAAGCATATGAATGGGTTGAATGAATTTAAAAGAGAAAAAACATACTATTAGAAAGAGAGGCTTGTCATATGACGCTGTGGCGCGAGTTGTATAGGAGGTTACAAATTTTGTTTCTTTTTTACTTAATTAGTTTGTTTGAAAAATATATTTTTTTAATTATTAATTTTGTTTAATGTTAATATTTTTAAAATATGTAGAATTTTTTTTTATTTTTTATGATTATTGGCAAGTAGCGTTAAACGTGTGTTCATTTATTGTCGCGATGGTAACGACACGCTGTATAAATATATACATAACGTAAATATAATATATAAATATTATGTCGAGCTCCGGCGGATGCCTTTGCCAGCCGAGCTTCCTCATGAAGAATGAATCGGCGTAGTTTATGTCGTTAGTGGACTGCTCCACGTACAGACCTTAAATTCCTGCCCTGGATTTCATTACCTTACAAATTTCAAAAAAATAAAAAACATCTTAAATACCCATTTTAAATATCTTTTTACATATAATAAACATAAAATTCATCATATTGCCTCTCCAAGTCCATACTTTACTATTATAGTTTTAACTTTTTAATTATCTTGATACAAATAGAGGCAGATCGGCTCGGAGCAAAGCAATTGCCTCCAAATTTATCAATGCAAAAACATCCCCTCATTACTGTCTGTATTCAAGTATATGTTATACAAGGAGTATAGTTATAGTATTGCTTACTTGCCATAAAGTGAATTCCATGACGCAGTTGCAAAGGTATCGGCTTCGCCGTCGGGGGCCATGGGTTCGGTTTCCACACGAAACAACTATGTATTTGTGTGACCCACACACAGATAGTTGTTTCGCATTTGGGTGTTTGTCCACGTGAAATTCATGTTTGTAGGTAAAACGTCCTTTACAACACAGGACAACGTTATCCTAAAGTAAGGGCAGTCTTTAACAAATAAAAAATAAATAAAAAAATGGACTCAAAACTACAATGTCGTGAGATCGCCCTAAGACTTCGCACTCAGATTACTGTGTAGGATAGTGTTGTGTACGCTCAGGAAGCGGACTTCAATTGACACTACTGGAGAAAGCCTTGGATCAACTCGAAGACGACGAGGTGAAAAGGATACAATGTCACATCAGCACTTTTATGTGCCCTCAAATCTCCTCTCTTTTGATGCCCATGGGAAGATATAGGGTGCTCTACTCTACGCGTATCAAAAATTTTACCGAACAGGCACAAATCACCTAAATGATACGGAATCATAAAATTACTTACGTGTGTAATGTTACTTAGTAACACAATTTATGCCAACTCACCTTTGCTTACAAGGGAATTGTGAGCATAAGGACTAATTATAATTTTCGGGTGGAAATTGAAATGAATAAACTTATGATTGTCTTTATGTACTTTATTTATTTTTTTTGTCACAAACTACAGAACTGCGGCTCTACTAGTCAAAAATCTCATTGGACCAAAATGCTCCTGAACAAATATTAAATTGACATAAATAATAATAATAAGAGTTTACATTAATTTTCAATTTCATAAATTAATTAATACAATAATAATAAAGAATCTTTAAAAATCTAAATTCATATACAAATTAATCTCTCTTAAATCGAAACTAAGTGAACAAATCGAAGCAATATTCTTTTTTTAATGGAAAAACATGATGTTTATCACAATGTTATGGACACTATAGTCCCCAGTAGATTCTCTATCAAATATACATAAAGTTACATTTTAAAAGATAAGCAAATATATTTTATTCTTATTTCAAAAAAGCAAAAGGTTCGCAAGAAGCACCCATTACAGATTATCGCGACAAAATTCGAACGTCGCACTAAAATTCAAAGCATATAATGCGTTGTGAAGAAAACCTTGTGCTTTGTTGAAAATTAAATATAAAACTTTACACTCCATTGACGCAGAACATGCAATCTATGAATCATTTGTCGTCATTATAAATGTTATGGCCTAAAGGTCCTCGATAGAGGGCCATAAAAACCAAAAAAAAAAATGTCTAATTATTTGTAAGTGTCAAAAATTGCCATTCAATGTCAACACAGGATCTTTGATTTGTCAAAATTCGTCAGTTAATTGGACATTAATGTTCCTAAAAATTGTAAAAAATAGTGAGAATATTTCAAACAACAACGCATGTTTTGCGTTAATGGAATGTTTACGACTAACATATAATACAATTAATCATAAAATTAATACGATTTCATTAGACTCACACTAAAATTAGAATTAATAATAAAAACATACGACAAACACACTGAAACATAAATTGTGACTTCATTGATGCAAGATTACTAATGAGGTCTTTTTTTTAATTTAGTGTCTAAAGGCATTTTGATTTTATTTTATCGCCCTTAACACTACTGATGGACCTGCCATTATCTAGACAAAAACTGTCATAAACCTCACGCATCTATAATAAAATCACAATTTCCTGCTTCCTACACCGTTCACACCATAAACAAAATTATAACTGTCAATTGATCTTTGAAATTGTGTAGCGGAGGAATAAATCATAAATTGATGAATTTCATTAATCCCGTTTTTTTTTTGGAATTTTTTTGTTTATTATTCACGTAAAACATTAGGTGTAGACAAAGATATCAAAATGTAAAAAAATGTGCCGTATAAAAATTTGCAAAAATCCTAACAACAGTTTTTAAACGTCTATACTCAAATATGATCGGTTTGTCAATTCAATTAAATTTGATACACCGAAGGCAAGGCGATATAAACTATTAAATATTCAAGCTTCAACACTCACGTTCAAAAATGTCAAATTCCATAAACCTTAAAACAACACACCGAGGTCAAACCAGCGACTGCGTTTACAACTAGTCCCGCCATAAAGCAAATTACGAACAGCATAAAAAAATCGACTAGAATACTTGTGATTTTGCGTAGTGAAAAAATCACTTGTCTTTTGACGATTCCATCAAACGGACCCAGTACAAAAATGTCATGCGACTAACGGCCGGTTTCAATTTCAATCTATCTGTAGATTTGTTTACTAGCGGTAAGTACTTGACATTAGTTATTGAAAACGTCAAAGAAATTAGGCGACTTAAGGTTTGCCTAGTGGCGGTCGATTACGCGAGTTCACTGGCAGACCGATGCGAGGCGATGGCATTGGATAAGCGTGTGGCTGCGAGTATTATTCCGCGTACTACACAGTGACAAAGAGCGTTTGGGACAGTGAGAGTCAGGGGGCGCTGCGGTGCGGCTCACGGGATCCAACCCACCACCCAGCTGGGGCTGCGGGTGAACTGGGTCAGTCGGCGAATGCGTCCGCCTGCGAATGACGTCTCGCTCATAATCGAAGGAAATACACGTTTTCACCGGCAAAAATATTGAAAGTGCATTCGATTGCGATGAATCGATTTTTATGTCTCCCTCCACTGGGCGCAGACTGGTGGCGGAAAGTATTGAACGCCAATAGACCACTGTACACAGCATCGTGGTGTTGCATTTCCTTGCCAACCTTATAAAATTGGGCCCAGGTAAGCTCATTTAAGAGACAAAATTCTTACTTCCTCCGTATTACGTCAATCGCCAGTGAGATTGTACTTGCGTCTTATTAAATAACAGCCTCGAGCCTCGCCACTGGACTACCCCTGTGTAAAAGTATATGTGCAAACTTCAACAACAGTTTCAAGTATCTATATGTATAACTTAATGATCGTCAGAGTCAAAACCGTCGCCTAAGGTTCTGTACAACGGGGAAAGATTTTCTCGTGATTACTGCTTGTGATTTCTTCTGCACTAAGTCTCACAGGTATTTTTGTTCCTCTTACATTAGTTCAGACTTCCATATGTATTAAGAGTAAATATTGAATGGATATTTTTGTGTGTGTATTGATTTTTACCAGTCATTTGATATCTACAGTAACATAACCTAATAATGTGTGTACTAGTAAGAGCTTGAGAGTTTTATTTACTACTATTCTATGAAAGTATCATTGATTACACTGTAATCATTGGTATCAATGTTTCAGATCCATAAATATTTAAGAGTCAATAAAACACAAAAGGATTATTAAAATGGGATTCAATTTTGTTAATTAATACATTTCAAGAAACCTCCAGAATTAGTTATAGGGGGTTTAGACCCTTACCTTTCGGAGACTATATATATATGGCGAGCGTATTTCATTGAAATATAAACTCTTAAAAACAACACGAAATCTAAAGGACGATAAATAAATCAATAGAGTTGAAGAGAATTCACCATATATTTAACTTTCAAGGACACTGTTGTCCAATTTCTATTTCTTCTCGCGCCATTATGTTATTATTATTATAGTTTAACGTATTGGGGCATCCTCCATATAGATTATTCATTATTTGTTTTACCGCCATTTTTTTCCCTGGTTTTTTCCCGCACCATTATGTTTCCGGTTTTCATTCGCTGTCAAAAAATCGTAATGGCGGCACATGTCTATGGCGCGTAGAGCCTAATTAAAACAGATACTTACCGCACGTGGTGTTCTGGACCCTAAGCGCTATTCTGGCTCCGGCGTTGCTGGCGTACTGCAATGCATACACACAGACGGGTCGTAAAGGTTTTTTTAACAGGTTCGATATTACACCGGCAATGGGAAATTGACATTCGCTACTTCATAAACATCGAACTTGATTTTAATGTCAAAGTGACTTGTTCGGTCACGATTGAAACTTTCTAATACTTTTTGATAACACTACTTTACGGATCTTATTGCAGTCTTATTGTAACGCCAGATATTTCGAATGCTTTACATTGTAAAGTTTACAGCAATCATGGACGCGAGCTTTATGTCTTGATACCATTGTCAGCCCAATGTGCAATAATTAATAATTATTTCGACAAATAAGAATTAATCATTTTCCACCATGACGGAAGTTTGAAAAGTAAAAACTACTACAAAATCCGTAAACTAGTTTTATTTCAACTATCATAAAATTCTCATAATTTAATGATTATGATCTCTTGAAATTCGTGCATTCCGTAGCAAATGCGTATCTAAATTAAGTATTTTTAGTTTAAATGTCCAAAACAAAGTCAGAATCACACAATCGGAAGGAATTGTAAAAAAAAAAAAAACGATAGTTTAAAAAAAATCCATGCCACAACATCGTACATCACTAATGTCTTAGTACACGTCCATTCTCATTCTGGTTAGGAAAACAATTGCATGCGTTGAATTAGTCTCGTAATAAAATAGTAACACGCGCACATTTTTTGTCTATGGTTTGACATGTCGGAAAACGTATGAGGATGACTGAATGTAAATAGTATTTCTATCCTGTCATAATGAGACCCCACTGTTGGTAGGTAGGCCTAAGAAGCAAAAAAAAAATCGATAAGCGGAAGCTAGACGCGCCGTGACGGAAAACCGTTATTTTCTCAACACAAAATATCGGTAACGGCCCTCAGCATTCGCGCCAAGTAAAACTGTTTTTTTACCCATCAACGTGGCCGTTTCAACTAATTATCATCGCGCCCTACGCTCCCCGCTCTGCTAAAATCAAATAGTTCACAGTTAGAACTAAAAAACAGAATGAACATGTTAATTCGATTCATTCAACAGAGTAGTGTTTTAATGAAGAACATTCCAAATACAAATCAAAAGATCGAAGAGAATGAAAATATAAATTATATTAAGAAAAGGAACGTGTTAAGAAGTATAGTAAATATGTAACTCGGTAGATAGTGTAAGAAATGATGCAGTAAGCGTAATAATTCATTTTATAAATTCAATTTTGGTGCAGTTTTATTCGCCTATTCTAGTAAGATGTTGAATTCATATCAATTGTAAACATAAGATATAATAAAATAGTAACCTAATTATATATCTTATTTTTGAAGTCTTTCGTCATCAAATAATTAAAAATTTCATTTCATTAAACTTTTCATTCAAAACTTATAATTATTTTAAATACATGGGATTTAATTCTACGCAACAATTTATTAAAATGTATTTGTTGTACTATAATTGATTTTTACTTTGTTATAATAATTTGAAAATAAAAATAAAAAAATTTTATTTACAAATTATGTTACAAATCATGTAACTTTTGCTATTGCTAAGCTAACGCGCGAAGAAATTTTATGTTATATTTTAAAACGTCAATATTAAAAAAAAAAAAAAGAATGAAAACGATCAATCGGTAGACAGATTGTGGCAATAATTTGCTGCAAGTTAACTCGCATAGTGATGTGCATGTAGTATTTTTTCTTACTGTCCAATATACAACACTACAGTGCCCACGTGCTGGCAATAAATAAGGCCGCGATAAAACTGCACCGCCAGAGTTGTGAGTGATGCGACTCAATCAATCGAAACTGTAAATAAGCTTTGATAAGCGTAGTGTTGTTATCGCTGCCGTGCCAACATTTTGCACCCGTCACGGGCCTGACCTGCACGCGTTATTGGCTACGCGCCCCTTTTTGCAGGTTGTTAAAGAACCTGAACTGTAGTCGCAGCGTTAGGTCTTTCCGTACTGCAATGGAACAACATACACTATCACAATCGGGCAGTGTTGGGTATTTTGAGCCGTGTGGTGTGGTGGCCTGCGAGCGATAGTGGCCCGCGAGTGTATGGGGATAGAGTTCAATTTCGCACAAACTGCGCAGTGACGTCACTCGTGATCGGATGCGGGGGGAACACGCGCGTGAGCGGCGTCTACTCACGAGTGGGGGTTTGGGTTAATGTCTGGATGCTCGGCGAGCACGAATCTGTCCTCCGGCGTCTGGGGGCCTTTAGGGGTCCCGCCGGCCGGGCTGGGGGCCTCTATTAGCACGGAACCCGCCACACTCTCATCGAGAACGGTCTTCGCGGCCTCCTTCTCGGGCGTGCTGTCCTCCACGCTGGGCGGCGTGCCGAACAGGCGACTGTCCACGCCGACGGCGGACGGCCGACTGCGCGGCAGCCGCAAGCTCAGTGACGCCCTAGCCCGCTTTTGCAATCGGCAATCTGACGATATCGATGCCCGTTAACGGCGCTGTCACCCCGTCTCACATCACTATCGTCGGATGATTCACGTAGTTAATAGAAGCGTGGAGGTGTTAGGGATGTGCTCACACGGCCGGTCGCGTTACGGCTGCATGTTGTGCTGACTGGTTGCGGTTATGTTACGGCCCTATGCGGCGCGGTGTCGACCGAGTCGCGATAAAATCCGGCCGAGTTACGACACCATGACGAACACATATAATGGTATAGATTGCGGTGGCCGATTGATATGCGCATGCCTTTATGGAGTGTTGTATTATGGAGTGTCGAATTTCATCGCGGCCGTATCGTTCGTTCTACTCGCATAGGATCTTTGATGGGTTCTACAAGCGATAGAAATGTGGTCGATTACTGGCGTGTCCGTTGGCGCCGGGCCGCGGTTTTGCACCGAAACGTGGCGCCATCTGCGCAAGCGAGCTTTAATGTATGAGTCGAACAACAGTGCGGCGCTTCTAGAACGTTCGGCGGAATGATTCGACGAGTATTACAGATGTCGTGAACAAAAACGGTGAAATAATGCTCACAGCTGATATGCACATGTGCTGAAAGAAACATTCAGATATACATATGACTCAGTGATAGTTTATCAACTGAACATGGTGGCTGTCTTGACACAGTTAAACTCAGATTCATCCATCATATCTGACTCAACTTAAATTATAAGTACAATGCTTTAGATTAAGAACTGACTGAATTACTATATTAGACTGTCTAGAATCTAGCTCTTCGGTTTGATAAGTTTGTTTGTTGTAAATCTATAAGTGCATATTATTGTTATTATTTGCTAAGGATTAAAGATATGATTACAATGAAATAACTTTTGGTCACTCAATATTCCATCAAGTTCCTCGGATGAATGATATGGCTTGAGAAAAAGGAAATCGTTTCGATACTCTCGGAGCGAGCTTGATTTCGTCATGGAATTGTCTCTCACGACTTATAACATAAGTAGAATATGATTTTACTTTTCCCTCGCTATACGTCTTACTCTAACCATTGCAATGGGTCCATCCAAAAATGGATTCAAATAATTCAGACATTCAATTACGTTGGGCGTCGCATCTGAAAAACTATAAAGGCGAAATCATTATCACTTCACAGAATACTTAAGGCAGATGCCTCAATAGTATACTGATAATGAGATAGAGTATGAATAGAGACTATAAAATAGCAAGTTATGGAGGGAGAAGAGAGAGAGATCATAAAAATGAGGACCTCGGGAAAGTTTTGATTCGGTAGAGCGAGGGGAGACCTACGTTGAGGGAGGAGAGGTGTAATAGGGTAGTTTTAATGGCTGGGAGATGTGGGAGGAGGCATGTTGAAGGGGGAGGGGAGGTCAAACGGAGTAGAGCTGCTGGTAAATGTGGTGAGGATAGGGGCTTAACGGACTAGCTTTAGTGGTTGGGAGATGTGGTGGGGAAATTTCGAGGGGAGGAGAAAGTCTAAGGGAATAGCGGTAGAGTGGTTTTTAAAGGAGGGAGCTACGGGTAGAGATATATGTGGATGCGGCGGTCTATAGTAGTAGTTTGAGCGGCCGGTAGAAGTGGTGGGTGGGAGGCGGGAGTAGACGGAGGAGACATTTGTGACGGTTGGCTCACTTCTGTCGATGTTGCGCTGCAGGTGGCTGGCGACGCGGTGCCGGGCGTCGCTGTACTCGAGGTGCAGCCCGAGCCGCAGCAGCGTCGGGTTCTGCTCCACCAGCGACGTGATCTCCATCTCGATCTTGTTGCCCAGCACTTGCGACCGCTGAGGTGATGCATATTTTTTTTTTTTTTTATGTGAAAAGTTGCCAAACGAGCCAAACGAGCAGTCGGTTCACCTGATGGTGAGTGAATACCGCCGCCCATGGACATCTGCCACACCCGAGGGTTACAGATGCGTTGACAACCCTTTTGAAAATTGGGCTCCGGCCACCTCACTCACCAGACGAAACGCGAAAGTATTTGTCATACTTCCACTTTACGCTGGTCTTCTGCGAGGTCGTGGTACTTACCCGGACGGGCCTGCCCATTCGTGCAACAGCCGAGGCTGTTGCGTGGCCCTGCCACCGTAAAATTGCATATGCAAATATTGCATGTTAGTTCGTACGAGATGTGGACGGAGAGTTATTTCGTCGGTGTGGCAATCGATCCGGCGTCTTCCGGGTTCGCGCTACACCGACGGAAACATCGATGTATTTTATATACATTGTTGTTGGACCTCACACCGGTCTTCCGTGAGTCCCTGTAATTACTTCCCGGGACGAGCCTGCCCATTCATGCAACTTGAGTCTGTTGCCCGGCACTAGCATAACTTAATTTAGTTGGAAACTTTTCACTGCGCCGTTATAGAGTAAATCCATCAACACAAAACGTTTCAAGAAATGTGAGAAGGTAGAAAACAAACTAGCGGTTCACCTGAAGTTAAGTGAGAACCGCCGCCCATTGAGTTTATGTAACACCCGAAGGGTGGTAGATGCGTTCCCACCTTTTCATAAAGTGGGCCCCGGCTACCCAATTCACCTGACGCAAGGCAGATGTATAAACACTATCACTTAACGCCTGTCTTCCGTGAACTCGTGGTATTTACACGGACGGATCTGCACATTCATGCAACAGCGAAGACTGTTGCGTGGCCCTAACAGCTAACACGATAATTTTCAGCGGATAGAAAATAGCAATAATGTATCTCGACTTTCACCGAGTCCCGTCCGTTTCACGGTCTTATGCCAACACAGACCTTCGCTTATTATTATAATTTTGTTTTTTTTTTTTTGTTATGTTTACATTGGATAGAAAATAGCAATAATGTATCTCGACTTTCACCGAGTCCCGTCCGTTTCACGGTCTTATGCCAACACAGACCTTCGCTTATTATTATTATTTTGTTTTTTGTTGTTATGTTTACATTCATTTTAAGTTTTTCCAACATTACTTTATATTCTGTTTAGTTACGTTATTTTTTACGTTTTGCATATATACACTGTGCTTAAGCCGTGAATAAACGTTTCTTGTTTCAATCCGTCCGCTGTCCGAACGGATGGTCGCCCATTAAGCGCACAGGCGGCCGAGCGGCGCCCCACCTGGTTGGAGGCGCGGAACTCCTCGACGCTGGTGGTGGCGAGCAGCGCGGCCACCAGCTGCACCACGCCGCCGGGGCTGATGAAGTTGGTCTCCACGTTCACCACCCTGAGGGTGCTGTTCGCCCGCAGCGCGTCCGCGAGCAGCTGCGCGGTGCGGTCGTTCAGCCCCACGTTCACCAGCGACAGCACCTCCAGGTGGGTGTTCGTCTTCAGGCCCTCGAACAGCTTCTCGAATTTCTCGTCGCTTATGTTCTGGAAGGCACAGAGAGCGATACGTTTAGCAAGGTGCTAGTGTAGAATGGGCAGGCTCGTCCGGGTAAGTACCACGAACTCACAGCAGACCGGCGTTAAGTGGAAGTATAATACTTTCGCGTTTCGTCTGGTGAGCGAGTTGGCCGGAGCCCAATTTTCCAAAGGTTGTCCACGCATCTGCAACCCTCGGGTGTAGGGGATGTCCATGGGAGGCGTTATTCACTTAACATCAGTTGAACCGTCTGCTCGCTTGGCAGTTTTTCACATAAAAAAAAGTTATACTTCTTTTGGCGCGTTAGGGAAACATGATGAGAGTGAATTTTTACGATGCGCGCGCACACCGTCACGAAGAACCGCCACCCTGTAGTTAGCTGGGACATCTACGTATGTTTGCATGAGAACTGACAACTAATTCACGATAATTTTATTTTATTTGCCGACGAAAATCTCAACATATTTTATGTGCATTGCTTTTACGCCTTTATTATTAACGTCATCTGTATGTTCGTATGTATGTAACAGAATTTTCGAAAGCTATTTTGTACCACTTCAAAACGTCACATATATTTGGAATTTTGGACGCTTAACAACAACAAAACAATAGTTTTAGTAACAAAAAGCTCTTCGCTCAATATATAGCAGAGCAGAAATTACAATGGCACTGGTTTTCTGCGGATGCCTAATGTTGTATACAGCCAACAAAACGAAAATAGAAATATACAAAGATATACATATAAATACGGCTTAAACAAAATGTAACAACAAAATAACAGTTGGTACCAACCTTAATGTTATTCCAATTGAGATCGGTGAGCTTCTGGTCGTTCTCCTGTACCCTCTTGATGGTCTCCTCCGGGTCTGTGTCGTTAGGGGGGTCCATCGGGTACACCTGTAACATTTATTTTCCAGGATTTATTTCATTTAAATGCTAGTCTGCAGAGACTAGCTTAAGATAATGACTTAACTATAAAATATGGTGAAACTTTCGACGCTGCGAAATTCGAACTTGCTTCCTCCGCCATATTAGCCCAGACGCTTTAGCAACTGAGGTGTGAAGAGGTAATCAACATTTATTTTCTACTTTACAAGAGCCCTATTATATATTAAGTTCTTAGGTCATAAGAACTACAGATATGCGAGAGTGGTTGATAATACGCAAACATATTTTATGGAAACATGTAAGTGTTAATTTAAGGGTACAAACATGTAAAAAGAAGGGATTAATTTGCTCTTTAATTTTTTTTATTGTATACTTTTTGATTAAGAGTAAAATGTGTAAATTAACTGGATTTTCTCCCTGTACATTTAACCATTTTACTTTATAATTTATCTGTTACTATAAACATCTATATCAATATACAACTTTTTGTTGACTGTACAGGTTTAGCACATCTGATTTGTATAATCCACTTTTGCCCCTTTGGTATAATTAAAAGCGGGTTCTTAGTTTTAAATAAAATAATGATATTGTTCCTTTGGAATACCTTTTGTTTGGTGGCTTTGGTGATGCCGTCCCATCCTAGGCCGACCGGCTGCCCTTTGTTCAGCAACGAGGCGTGGTATTGGTCCTGGTTCATCATCGAGTGGAAGCCCAGGATAGCTGGTTGACAATGGGATGCAAAGGTTTAAAAAAATCCAATTGACTCCTTACTCCGAGCTGTTCTTATTGGGACCCTTGGCAAGGCTCAGTTGTCAAAATAACGAGGGTTGTACACCACAGATTGTAAATTCCATCCTGTTATTTGAGACTTTAAATTAATGAAAATATGGTTATTTGTTTACTTGGCATTAGGGCACAGGATAAAATATACTATAGTTGTACTTTTCCTGGTTAGTTAAAATAAATGTAACAACTTTACAAATTTAACAGTTATGACCAACAAATTGAAAATCTAGTTATTTGTGGGTTTGGATGATAAACACATAGCAAATTGCTAGTTTTATTCTTCTTTATTTCTATTGTACGCAAAATAAAATCGAAAACAAGCTCAAAAAAAGTACAAAGGCGAACGAAGTAAACTCTAAAGTTTTGTCGATTGTATAAAAAAAACGAACGACCCAAACTGATACCACGTAGACTCACGTCAAACTTCTTTTTAAAAAACTACGAAAGAAAAAATTACCAGCCAGATCTATGATCTCCTCTTGTGTAGCTGACGTCAGCGCTTGCTCGTACTCATCGCCGAGGTCGATGGTGATTTGCTCCTCCGCGTCTCGAACTTTCTCCGTCGGGGGCGGGGGAATCCACTGAAAAGTTAACAACGAAATTGTAAACATATAATCGTACCACGATGCGGTAGGCATCGCTCGACACAACTGATAGGTGTTTCCAGTGCTTTCCATTATCAAGGATGCACTACTTATAACTTAAGGGAGCTTTGCATCCCCGCCTCGAGGAAGAATCTCCTCGTCAAACAAAACTCCGATACGAAACGTGTGCAGAACGTAATGGCGCCAACAGCACAAACCGTTAAGTTCAAAAACATCTTAATAGTACTTACTATACTATTTTAAATTTATCCTTTTATGGTTAGCATCATTTTATAAATTAGCACGTCAACATTATGTTACGTAATCTGGGGAGACACGGCCCGAATTGTAATACCTTCTGTGCGTATATTGTGCCCACTTTAAAGATTTTTTTTTTTTTTGTGAAAATTTGTTAAGCGAGCCCATAGACATCTGTTACACCCGAGGGTTGCAGATGTGTTGACAACCTTTCGAAGATTGGGCTCTTGCCAACTGGTTATGTAACAAATTTAAATAATGACTAATGAATAATGAAATAATGAGTAATGTTAAATAATGACTGCAATTTAATAAATAAAATAATGAAAATAAATACACATTCGAGTTCGATTACTTCATTATGCAATTTTTTTTTTATTTTCAACAAGCCATGCTTATTTTGCCAGATATACGCAATCTTTTATTTATTCTATATGGCTCAAACCGACACATTAGTTTATGACAATTTTTTTCCTTTTTACAAACATTGCACTTATTGTATGATGATATCATTATCCTGTGTTGTAAGGACGTCTTACAAACATAAATTTCACGCGGACTAACACCCAGTTCCGATAAAATTATCTGTGGGTCACACAAATAGAATCGGACTCCGAAGTCACGGGCTCATCTGTATGTTTTCATTTTAAATGACAGGAGAGCTGTATATATCAGAATTCTTTCAAGCCTTTAATTTAATTGTGCCAAGCATTCATTTATATTTGTAAGTATTTTAACGTAAGTTTAAAGAGGCATTGAGAGTTAACAGATAATTATGTTAAACGAGGAAAACATAAACAAGAATATGTAAATACTCAGCCCGTATCAGAAAATAATGCTAACATTCTTGTGAAACTTTTACAAGGTTCGCCATTGTCTGTGGTTATCAATGTTAGCACAATTGATTACCACAAACAACTTTTTTAAACTGTTGCCAAACCCATATTTGCTTCATTTTATATTTTAATTGACCTAACCCCATTTTATATCTTATACTTTAAATCCAGCAGGGCCTGGCTCGCTGTTGTATGAATGGGCAGATCAGCCCGGAGAAGTATCATGACCTCACAGAAGACTGGCGTGAAGTGGAAGTGTTATTATTCTGCATTAAGTCTGGGGAGTGAGGTAACTGGGGCCCACTTAAAAAAAGGTGGCATAAGGTTCACGAGTGGCAGCCTCGTACTGGCCATCGCAGTGTGGGACGACCCCCCACTAGATGGAGTGAAGACCTGTGCAAATGTGCGGGAAGTCGATGGATGCAGGTGGCTCAGGATCGTACTTCGTGGCAGTCTATGGGGGAGGCCTATGTTCAGAAGTGGACTCAAACAGGCTGAAATGATGATGATGATGCTTATATGCTTATAAAGATGCTGGAGCGACTCACATGGATCCAAGCCATAGACATATTGATTGCTTTAGTAAAAAAAATTGATACCTTCTTGCCACGTATTACTCCCGGCACGTAAGGCTTGACCTCTGGCCGGTCTGGGGTCTCCAGTGCTTGTTTGTTTATGTGCTCGATCAGCTTCTTGCGGTTTAGAGGGCCGGTGGGGTCCTTTTCGCACGCATAGTTATTCCTTTGCGATGGAGGGAGAAAGTTGTCCTAGAAAGTAAAACAGATTGTATATGATTTCACATCTCTATGTATTCATTACCAGAAGGTATAATGGTTAAAAGAAAGTTTACATAAGTATATTTGAAGGTTTAAAGGAATTGTTATTTATAGAAAGAAGAGCTAATGGCAATATATGAGCTAACGGCTATAGTGTCTTGCGCCAAAGGGTGTGTATTTAATTCCCACTACTGGAAAAATGTTGTGTGATGAAAATGGTGTTTTAGGTAAGTATCTGAACATTTATATATTTAAAATATGTATTAATTTACAATTAATGTAAAATTTATGTTTTTTTTTTATTTAGAACTAGCCAGAACTTGACTGCCATCCCACCTGATGGTATGTTTAAGTATATTTATCAGTTATTTCGTACCCATAGTACAAGCATTGCTTAGTTTAGGACTGGAAAATGTTGTGTAAAAATGTGTCCCGAAATATAAAAGAAAAAAGAAGAAGGAAATTAAAAAGATGCCATTTAAAAACCATAGGTTTTAGTGTATTAAATATTATGAAATGTTAAAATTTCTTAAATATACATACAGATTAAAAACATGTAAGTATGGGGAACCCTTTATGAATTTTTAATAACTAGAGTTACTGATACTTATGAAAATAAGCCACACATTTTCAAAGTCAGTTTCTTTACAATTAAACATTTACATCAATTGGAATAAGCAGATTGATATTGTCAATTCATTGTTTTATGATAAATTGAATCTTGAATTTATTTAAAAATAATTTCTAAAAGGTTCCATCACTACAATATTTAAATACAATAATTCATATTTACATTTATCTTATAGATGAAATGATTTGATTTTGGCTATATACTTTATTTCTTGTATGTTATTTAATACATTTATTATTTAAAAAATTTATTCATTAAGTAACTTATCTGAATACCCAATTTATATATGTATATAAATGTGCTTCAAGATATTGTGTATTAATTACAATCTTGTTTACAATAGCTGATATCAGGCTGTAATTAGAACACCGTTTTTGATAAGATTGTTTAGTTGTGAGTACAAAACAATTAATTGCTGCATAACTCCTTCACTTAGATTTTGTAACAATATGCAATTGTTAGCAAGGGAGCAGGGGGTTCACCTGATTTTAAGTGATTACTGCCACTCATGGATGTAATCAACACTAGTGAAATGTAACAACCAAATACATTGGCAATCTTATAAATAATGATGCCCAGTCTGCCAGTTAAATCAGACAAATTGCAACAATTCAAAAACTTGAACTTAACAATAATCTTCTGTGAGACTGTTTTACATGTAGTAGATGATAATGCATAGTTCACAATTAAAAATGCTATGAAAGCTGTTTTTTTACTTCTTTTAACAAAATGCTAATTTCGCATATCATTTGAATTTCTAATGCTTGAAGAATACAAGTCCATATTTATTTTATATAAATGCATGTACAATAATGAGAAAAAATGTTATAAATAATATCTATGTACCACATATCTGTTTATAAAATGTATTATTTAAATTATTTATTAAGTATCCGTCATTATCTGTTAAAAAACCAGCCAATTAGGAGACGGACTTGTGCACAAAGGGTTCAGTGCCTTTATCTAAAAAACAGCAAATATCATGTCTTTTGTATGGGAGCCCCACTTTAATATTTTATTATTCTGTGTTTTAGTATTTTCTGTTATAGCGGCAACAGAAATACATCATCTGTGAAAATTTCAATTGTCTAACTATCACAGTTCATGAAAAACAGCTTGGTGACAGACAGATGGTCAGAGAGACAGCGGAGTCTAAGTAATAGGGTCCCACTTCACCCTTTTGGTACAGAAACAAAAAATCTAACACAATAAAACAATAATTATAAAATAAAACAAACAAATAAAACAATAAAACTTCTACTACTAAATAACATTATTAATTAATTCCTGTAGAGAAGTGTACTACTGTGTGTAATCAAATGCAAATTTCATCAATTATTAAGCAATTATGTAGTACATAACTGTTGCTGTGTTTACTAGAGCATGTGGGTTAATGTTAACTTAACTGAATAAATAACAACAATAGAAGATCTGGCTAATATCAATTATATAAAATTACCAAGCTGAATGGAAACACTCACAGAGGATAAAAAAAAATATAATCATATTGAAAATCAGGCTCAGGACGAAAATAAATCCTTATATAACTTAAGAGCTTTACATAGCGTCATTTACTAAACATAATCTTTAAATGTATAACATTCTAATTTGGCATTGATGTATTCTTTACCTAAAATAATTTTAAGCAGGTTTGTGGAGAATATGATTAATGATAAGTGATAAATTGGTAAGATATAATGTCATGGCAACTGATACAATTTCATTTTACCTACTTTCAACAATTATGTAAGTTTATTCATAATATTTTGTGAGCTGCATACATGAATACCATTAAGTTCACTCATGTTAAAGCCCGGAACACTCATGTCTGTTATCTCTACAGGAAATTTTAACTTGTATATGACATTGAAGCCGCCTTATATCACATATAATCTTAATTTACCCCACAGTATTCAGAGACAAAGCCAACTTAAAGGTAAAGCTGTTATCATTTGATGACCCAATTGGTGTGGGAAGGAGTGAACCTGCCTCTTGCACAGGAGGGTGTAAGTTCAACCCCTACTACTGGTAAAATATTATGCGATGAACATAGTTTATCCACTGTCTGGGTGTTTATATATGTGTAATATGTATTTATTTACTAAAGAATGTGGTACAACTATGGTGGAACTATGGTACTAATGTTGTAGCAAACTGTGATCCTGTTAAACTTTGTTTTTGAAGGTTAAAATACATCTGACTCCATTAACAATGAATGAATTTTATGATAAATCTTGGTATACCCTGATTCTAAAAAATTACACCAAATATTGTTATTAAATAAAATAAGATTTAATAACCAGGAAGATAAGTATATTGTTAAATGTAAATTATAAAAATAAATATAAAACATGGATAGAGTTAACATTATATTTGAACATCATGCATGTGCTGAAACAAAATGTATGAAGAATGAATGTGATGAAAAATGAAATATTGAAATAATATTTGTAGTAAACACAACTGTGTAATTAAATAAGAATGCTTCAGTATTACACAACACAAAGATTGTGTGAATAATTTATTGGCAGGAAATATTCTTATTTATTATTCATTTAACAAATCCTTGAGAAATATTATTCTGTGACTTTGTTATTTCTACAGAATTTAGTCCGAAATTTTATAAATATATAATAGGAACTTCATAATAATTAGTATGGTATGTGCCATAAGGGAATAAATTTTGTGGATATTATTAATATCAACGAAGTATAATAGTACAGAACATTTACTTACATCAGGATCAACTTCTTTGGCCAACATGGTGAGTTCTTCCTGTGACAACTTAGAGAGCAGTTCGTCTACATCCACCTCGTCGTAGGCAGACAGCTCTCGTCCGTATAGCTTCGCCGGCGTAGTCATTGTTGTAGTTTTCGTCGACGACGACTTCTGCAACCACGAGAAAAACACTACACTTACACTTTGGACTTGTATTACCCAATGTTTTAATTTGTTCGAGTAAAAAACTAAATTTAGGTCCAAATGTGTGACAAGGAGTTTTACAAAACACCACACCCTACAACAGTTGACGTTAATTAATCAATGATAAGAAACATGTCGAACGAACATTAGGTGGCAATATATGGCTATTAATCTAGAAAAAGTGCAAGATTCATAGACATTTATTTCTCCTCCTTACATTTTAAATACCTAATAATATATTCACTAATAAACAATAGAAGAGCACCGCCACAAACACCTACGATTGACACTCGTGAACTGGAACTGGAGAAAAATATAGTTTTAGAAAAGAGTACGCTGTAATTGTAAAGTGAGGGAAAGAGACAGGCGATATACAAAGAGAAGCTATAATACGGGCGTGAAGAGACTGACTAAAATACCGGTTCCTTATCAAGATTAAAATGGCTAAACGTAGTACCTATACAATTTAATGTAACTGTTTTGGTACAAAAATGATTGCATAATTTTTTTTTTAAATATAGTAAAACTTTTAACATCTTTGGTACAAAAAATTATATGAACTATATTTTATATAAATTATATTTGGTATTAAAAATTAAATAAGAACCCTTCCACGGAATAGAGAAAACAGTTTTCCCTATTCCGTGAACCCGTCTATGGATTTGACTAGCTATTTCATCTAAGCAATAAACTTAGATTGCATATTAGACTTAGATATGGATTTTTAAGCTAACTTGCACCTATTTTAAACCTCACCTATAAACGTTAATTTTACAAGTACTTATCTTGTCTTTGCGTTACTAGAGCATCAAAGGTTCTTACTGTCAAACTTGGTGACTTCATTTCGCTTTGAGTGGATAATCTTCAGGCATAGGTTGAGTTAGTTAATAATGCTCGTCATACAGTAATGTTTATTCTTCTTCTTCTTCTAAGGCAGTTGGCTGTCCATATGATATCGCCAATGACACATTTGATCATGATAAAAAAACAAATGGTTTAAAATAATCTAAGAATAACTTCTGGTTGATTGTTTTTGTTCCGCTTTTATAATGATATGATGAAGAGAATGATTCTATGAATCAGTAATGTTTATTTATCATTCTTACTCGTTGTAACTAAGCAGCCGTGACAAATACTTTCAAAAAACTACATCAAAAGATTTTTTTTTACGTTTGAAGTGTTTTATCTATTCTAGCACCACTGGGTAAAAGCCTCATTTATACAGAAGGCATAAGAACATAGACCGCCACAAATGCTCAAAATCTTTTATATTTTCATTTAAGGTTAGAACGGATATTTAGTACCTATCCAATTACATACCTAAAGATTGACCCATAATAGGTAGCAGAAACTAATAACACAATGTTTTTTTAATTCTCCGAAAAAGACGTAATCGTGATCAACAAGAGTAGCAAAAAAACGTCAGAATCATTACTGAACTGAATGCACGAGGTCGTGACATTTTCTATGTTACAATGCTCCTACAATCACGACATTGCTTACGCAACGTACTATTTCATGCTTCGCCAGCATAATGTTGCGCTGTTATTGAACTCACTATGTCACGACCTTACCTATTGAATCCATTCGCTTATACCATTGAAGTCCATAGTGAATTCGAAAGAAAGCAGTAGAATATTTAAAGTCAAAACTTACAGCTAGAACAATTTATATAGTATAATTTAATTTAACAAAATTAAGGACAATTAACATTTCTCACATTTAGGAAATGTAATTAAAGGATTAGAAATTCTCCTTAAGCTTGTCAATACCAAATAAAAAAGTAATAAACCATGATAATTATCTTTATATATATATATATAATTCTTCTGTACGTGGGTATGTCACTGAACTCGTCCTAAACGGCTGGACCGATTTTAATGAAATTTTTTGTGTGTTCATGTAGATTCGAGAATGGTTTAGATTCACAAAGTTATTCAAAAAAGTTTAAAATTTTCGAATTTAAGACAGTACAGGACAACGTTTGTCCGATCCGCTAGTTTTTTTTTAATAAATCCGAGATACAAATACAATAAGCATCTATTATTACCAAAATAAGTAAAATTCATTACGCATTAGTATCTAAAAACGCAGTTTTCATTCTGTATTTAAATTTTATTTCCTTCTTTATTGCATAATATTCCTTGACATTTAAGCTTTGTATATAATTTATATTCAACGTGGGTAGGTATTAATAATAGTGTGCTATTGACCTTCTCCATAAAAGTATGAAGAACCTATAGACAATTTTATTCCGTTTGCAAAAAGCTTTAAATTAAAAGTATATATCAAAAGTCATTTTTTTTATTAACGAAATACAAAACCGACTTCAAATATCTCGCTCTGTATTTATTTTATAATTGATTTTCAGCAGTTCTCTACGTATCTCCGGAGCCCAATATCCGATAACAATGAAATTAATATGAGACCACAAGGATATGAGCACCAGCTTACAAATGAAAAAAGAATCACCAAATTCGATTCACTCAGTCGTAAGTTCTGAGGTAACAAACATAAAAAACAAATACAGTCGAATAGAGAACCTCCTCCAATTTTGAAGTCGATTGAAAAAGGATCCAAGTATGGCTATAATTTGATAACAAATGATTGATTGGCCGAACGATTTGCTTAAATATAAGGCGCAAGTAATCTGAAATTAAGTCTTGCGTGAAGATGATTTTTTTTATTAATTGTGGTAGTTTTTATATTTTTGGCTGGAACAACCACTGTTGTCCTTGGGAGGCGTTTACAGATCCCCGGACTTGAGGTGGTCGGGCGCTGAGGGCGCCTAGCCTGAACCTCGATTATGTGTGACTAAGCTCGAGGGCTCCCGAGGGAGCCACGGCTCGGTCACGCTAATAAAAAATGTCCTGTTAAGTTTCTTTGGCCGGTTCTTCTTAGGACAGTGGCTTTTTTTCCAAGCCGGTAGTAGTGTTTTTTGACAATCATTAAGTAAGTGTAATGCTTCTATATTAATAATATAAAGATATTTGAATTTGAATTAGATAACATTAACTTAAGATTTCCAACCGCCACATATCCCAATTTGCCACTAGGAGTAAGTCGAAGTTAAAAGATTTCAAATCGGATTTTATTAACTTAATTTTTAAACAAGTAATATTATAAGATACTAGCTGACCCGGCAAACGTTGTTTTGACATATAAATTATTTGTAGGGTAGAAAAAAATGTTTGGGGTGGACCACCCTTAACATTTAGGGGGATGAAAAATAGGTGTTGTCCGATTCTCCACCCTGGCCGATATGCACACAAAATTTACGAAAATCGGTCGAGCCGTTTCCGAGGAGTTCAATTACAAACACGGTGACACGAGAATTTTATATGTTAGATATAAACCATATTACGCACTTGACAATTTTCACAGAACAGTCATTAAACTCCATAGAGTAAGTTAATTTAAAGTTCATCTCTCTTGGGGTGGTGTATACGCTTCTACATCAAAATCCCAGTTAATGCGCAAAGTCTGTCTATGAACAGGTTTAAAAAATTTAAAGAAAAACTTTTTAAGAAGTGTTATTATAATATAAAGTAGCTGTCCCGGCAAACGTTCTTCTGCCATATAAATTATTTCTAGGGAATTTGTAGGATAGAAAAAACTGTTTATGGTGGACCACCCTTAACATTAAGGGGGATGAAAAATAGATGTTGTCCGATTCTCCACCCTGGCCAATATGCACACAAAGTTTACGAAAATCGGTCGAGCCGTTTCCGAGGAGTTCAATTACAAACACCGTGACACGAGAATGTTATATATTAGATGAATACATTAATGATACAGTAACCCATGTGAATGAAATGATCGCTCCTATATTTAAGTACGTTGAGGGGAAAAAGTTACAAAAAAGAGTTTCTTTCACCTGTTACTTCATCATTAGAGGAATCTCATTACAAACGGTGGTAGATTGAATAAATGACTATCGAAGATGAAATTTATATTTCAATTTCGATGAATAAATGATGAAATAAATAAATGATGAATGACAGATGTTAGATACCAATAATAAGTTATTAATCGTGCTGGTACGGTACACCGTGGTACGATTTATTATTGACGCAGTGATCGATTTGAGAAATGTTCTGCTGACGTTGCGACAATGCCGGCCAGTATGCTGGCGTCGAGCCAATCCGCTATAATTGGTGGTCGCCACACCAGAGACAGTATATTCTTAGCCTGCACTCGGCCACTGGCCTTCCGAACAACGCGAAATCTGCGTAAAAAATAATTTTTCCGTTTGCACTTGACCCAGTGCGCACCGGGGATGTACGCAATATTAACTTTGGAGCAATTTCGTAATAAACAGGTCGATGAACTCTTTATTTTTTTAACTAAAAGCTAATCAAGTAGAAATTAGTAATTAGGATTATAAATTCTAGTCACGTGTTATTTTTTTCAATGCATCATGAATACACACACTGCTATAAATACCCAAAGAGAATGTAATCACTACGTTTTTAAATACCAAGTAGTCATATATGACAAATAACTAGGCTCATTATAGCCAGTAAATAATTCATAGACAATAAAATCAAAACTTTGACATAGTATTTTGATTGGAGACATAACAATCATTGGCGGTAACGAGTCAGTTCGATTTAAAATTGAAAAAGTAAAATGTCGTTGCCCTATGGCCCACCGTACCCAGTGTCGCCTTTAATAAGAGGAATGAGGTTTGCTTTACTTTTGGCCGGTATCGCATACGGTCGGATAAAGCAAAGCAGATATGAAGAGCTCGAGGAAATTTGGCTCGAAGAGGAAGAGAAGCGAAAGGTCCTCCGCGCCAAAGAACTGGCAAAGTTGAAAGCTAGAATCGAGAAAGAGGAACGGGAGGTCATAAAACAAATCGAAACTGGGGAATATTTTAAAACCGGTAAGTTTTTAACTGGCCATAACGTCACCGTAAACAAATTGCTTTCGATAGATTGTAACAGTAAATAGTTAATAGTAGTTTATTTCACCACGCGAAATATGAATATTCCTTTAATTGTAATTAATGCTTGTAATTTAGATATCAATATTTTTTAATTAACAAAGATTGTTTTTTTTTTGTTTAGCGGTGTTTCTGATATCTTATGTTTTTTTTTGTGATGTTTCTATACTTCCATAATTTTAGTCGCAATTTCTGTTTTAATAAGATTTTACTAAGATTATATCTCAATTTTATTGAAATAATACTCCATTTAAGTCGATTTATTGTTCATTACGTTATTTCACCCGATGGTAAAACCTCCTACGTATTACATCGAAACATACTATGGAAGTATACTGCACTTATTTAAAAAACTCGCATATAGCAATTTGGGCTTTATTAACGAACATTAAATATTTAATAACTCGAAGCTCACAATGCTTTTACTTTGTAGATGACGATGAACCCAACAAGATTCAAAAGGTGTGTGTTCCTAAATAACAAAGGATATCATTTTATTATCTTCAGACACGGTAATAAAGCAATAAAAAATATTTTAATATTTCTTTAATTATACCCTTCCCTCAAATGTATTTATTCCATTTTTTAAGTTTCTCTCACACACTTTTGAATTTAGTGGAATATGATAGACGGTACGTTAATGTTAATTTTCTTCGCCCGTGTCAACTTAAATCACTGGTGATTTCGTTTTGTACTTTCGGATTGTGGCGAAAGTTGGAAAAAAATTCCCACCTTTTTACCGCGCCGTAGTATAACACATGCCCATACCATTGTTAGACACGATAAGTTCGAAATTCTCAACACCTCACAGTTTTCTGTTCACTAGTAACACCAGCTACAAAGCAAATGCTTTAAATGTACCGGTAATTTAATATAAATTGTGCTTACATTAATATTCACTATACCATCTACTGAGCAATGTTTTCTGCCATAGCAGCTTGCTTTTCGAATTCTAGAATGAACCGGAAAAGTATTTTATTAATTTTATATTTTAATTTAAAATTGACTGGTTAAGCGAAAACACAAAAAAACCGGCCAAGTGTGAGTCCGACTCGCACGAAGGGTTCCGTAACAGTATCTATAAAAACGGCAAAAAAAAATATCTGTTGTATGGGAGCCATGCTAAAATATTTTTTATTCTGTTTTTTAGTATTTGTTGTTATAGCGGCAACAGAAATACATCATTTGTGACTGTCAAAACTGTCACGGTTCATGAGATACAGCCTGGTGAAAGACAGACAGACAGAAAGCGAAGTCTTAGTAATAGGGTATTTAGCTTTTTGAGTACGGAACCATAATAATGAGTGTCTATCTATTGCTTATATGTTCTATGCTCTTGTAACCATTTAAAAAGGCTCTCACGTCTGCCAAAGATTCATCAGCATTTAAATTGGAGTATAATGTCGGAGTTAAATTTCAATTAATTAATTATCTGGTATATAATCATCATATAACTGATTTGATGATTGATAGAACATGTCAAATTCTAATAAGGCATGGTAACACTACACTCGTATCGGCGCCAACAACCACTTTCTAGTGATGCGGTGGAGTGACATCGGGCAAATGTTATTTACCGGTTATTTCAACACATGTTCATATACGATTTGTGACTTTTTAATTCGATAAAAATCCATTAGCACATTGGTAAGTTTTTTCTATGCGAATTAAATCTTATATAAATTCCCCTAACTTGTTTTGCACACTTAAAGGATATGATAATTTTCAATTAATAACTTTATCTTAAGAAAGTGACATTTTTGAAGTTTTTTTTTTAGTATTTACTTAAAGCGACTCGTGGTAGCTCAGTATCTGGGCCGTTAGCTAGTAATCTATCTAGTTCGGTGCCGCTGCAGGCCCATATAAAAAAAAATATTTGCATTTCATAGTAATGATAATGACCGTATTTATACTCGGTGGTGAAGCATGATACGAAATAGTTTAAAAAATTGAAGATTTATGTTGAGTCACGTAGCGGACGATGCCTACGAGTACTTGTATCTATATAATTGATTATCCCCTCGGGCATAGGGCTCCCATTCTCATAGCAGATTATAGTGTCTTTGCTTAATATTTTTTTTTATATGGAACTGACTAGCGCTTGACTGCCATCCCACCTGATGGTAAGTGGCGATGCAGCCAAATATATGAACATGATTTTAAAATTATGTAAAGTAGAAAGTGTTTGTGCCCATGGTGCCAAATAGAGGTAAATTTAGAATGGATGATAATTTTTAGGCTAAAAAAATAAAAAAAATCACCTGATTTATTTCGACAATACGCGCTGCCGAGGCCGGAGTAACACTTGTGAGTTGCATTATATTGATGAGAATGGACTACTACTCGTATATGTGAAAAGGAATACTTACCAAAGCAAAAATGGATTGATTGTGTGAACAGACAAAGAAGAATGTCAATGCAGAGATGTTGTTAATAAAGGAATCAACCTAATTAATCAAACCAGTTAATTAAAAAAATCACACATTTCATTCATTTCACTTTGGTAAAATAATTAACGCTACATCGAAAAAATACTTAAAATTTATAATAATTTAATTCAATCGAAATATAAAATAAACAGTTTAATGTACGCACCGGGAAATCTAAAGATCTATTAACATAGACTGATTAATTCATGCAATGAAAAGTCAAGAAACCCGAGCTGGATTCGATGCATAACTAGTATTGAATACGCAAGTAGCTTCGATACACCTGCTCACGGTGTTTCACCGGATATGTCCTCATATAATTCCATACAGACGAAAGTGAAAAATATTGAGATATGTTGAGATAAAAAGTTAATTGTTTGAATTAATTTAATGAATTCCTACTGCAAGAGAAATCTTTGCATTCATCAGTAGTTAAATTATTAAGTTCATCACGGACCGAAATGAATGGAAACCGGCATTAAGTGAAGTTCGTTTACTGAATATCGAATTAAAATGATTGTTACAGACCTACTGAAGATTATAAAAGTTCTTACCAGCCAGTTTAAAACGAGTTTTTTGAAATAGGTACACAGCTTTCCATTAAAAACCTTAATGCGCGTATCATTAGCGACTGCTTCCACGAATACTGGAAACTAAAATTATTTTTAGCTCGGACGTTCAAAACTTTAGTTCATTTTTAATAACTTTAGGCAAATAATATTCCACCAAAGTATCTATTTAATTTTACAGATAGATGTTTCATATCTCAATTCACTACTGCCATTTAAAGTCAATGAATGTGAAAGCTAAAGTTGTCATTGATAATTAAATTTATTTGCAAATTATATTGCCCCATGGCCAATGCCAATTTATATTTTTTCTCACTGTATTATGGTTCGTAAAGCTTTTTTTATCATTTTCCAATCATAAATACCTATTATATAAAGTCAGCTGGAGAATAATTAAGAAGATAGTTATGTTTTACGAATTAAGAACAAACAATGAACATATTTCATGATATATTCATGTTGTAAAGTATTCAAATGTCTAGATTTAAAAAAAAATCACAGGATAAATACCGTAGTATTTATTTTAACCTACTAATGTGTAGTATACAACTACTACTTATGGTGGTCCAATTTTTTTTTAAACGTGAACAAACTAGGTACGTAATGAAACAGATAAAAAAACTCGTTTAAATGTGCATTGTTTTTTAAATATACCGGGCCTAGTTACAGTTTGTGCCGGTTAACTGCTCGACCGCAACGAACACAACATTAATGTTGCTTACGTTACGATATTCTACCATTTGTCCCGTTAACGAAGTTACTCACACCCATGCGTCGTTCCCTCGCTGCGTTCTAAAATTCAGAACGTAATAAGGAATAGGGCCAGTTAAGTGCCTTGGCAAGTTTTTGCATAGTATGCCTTTTCGGTTTCAAGACACGTTCTAAAACCTGTGATGCGAGATTTTCGAGCGTGACTCAGCTGTAACAGAAGTTATTGCAACGAAAAAAAAACAATTGAAAACCGGTCCAAAATCATCCTTAAACTTACTTAAGGCAGCCAGCCTTAAATTTTCTCGACCGGACTCAATTGGATACAGCTTAATTCTAGTGCCTTCAATTAAATTTTAGTAACTCCTTTTATGTTAATATGTGAGCATGGATTACGGGGAGTTTAGATCATTTTTTTTATTTATTTATAATGAACTACACTAATAATTTATTTTTTCATATTTGCTTAAAGGTAATATTAATGTACGTATATCTAGAGGAAGAAATTTAAATATTAATAACATTTTTATTGTAGGGGCATTAAATAATTGTTTGGTGAAATTATCTATTACATTAGAATTCATTAAGGAAACACGATTCATTTAATTTAATATACTTTTATATAGCTTTTCATTCACAGGTTATTATCTTTATTTTAGATTACCGTTATAGTGGCGTTTTGTTAAATCTGTTTCCCTAAAACCGATAAGAACCGTTGCAACGCAACCGGTGATTTTTTACCGCGATTAACACGCCTGGGTCCCGTTGTATGCAACCGGTTACCATTGGCAACAAAATGTGAATTTATTTTATGTGTAGCGCAACAAAAACTTACCAGCTATATGACTCGCCTTAAATTATTCTAAAACAACATACCGCCTAAGTTCAAAACTACTTGTTTAATGTGTTGTAATGTATGTCAAGGTTTCTAAGTTCGATGTATTATTTGTACAGTGTTTAAAAATACTACTAGAAGAGAACGAAATAAGAAAAGCCTAGTTCATGAAAATTGCATTATACATTTTCAACTCGGAAGATGGCCAGCGCAGATGACGCTGTGGATGCTCTCCAATCCTTTAAAACAGTGATTCCCAAAGTGGTTTATATCGACCCCTAGGGGTCTATGACAACCTGCAAGAGGTCTACGTCAGCGAAAAAAAATTTGGGGGTCCATGAAATGAAAATAGGGGTCCACGATAGTGGATCTCAACACATACACTGATAGTACCTATTTTCTTACATCATACTATCTCATAATATTTTATGTTTATTTAATGTTACGTATATTTTACATAACAGATAAGTACAAAATTTTATTTTGAGTAGTTTTAATTTAAATTCAATTAAGAAATGTATAAATTAACATGTGTTTTTACTTTAAGTTTTTAACACTAAACTTCACTACAGTTAGAAATTTACAGTAAATCAATATCAGGTAAGTAGGGGTTCTACCCAACACGGAAAAACATGGCAAGGGGTCTACGACACAAAAAAGTTTGAGGAACTCTGCTTTAAAAGATAGGATTTAGATATAGGTTACCTCACTCATAAGACTATACACAAAAAAAATAAACGCACAAAAATGCCTCCACTTCACATAGATCTTCTGTGAGGCCGTGGTACTATCCCGGATGAGCCTGTACAATAGTCCTTCGTACAACAGCAGAAGCTGCTACGAGACTACCATAGTGTACATAATATTAAATGATAAAAACTGACACGCTCTAAATAATCAATGAAATACAAAAAGAAAACCCTATATATATATATA